TGCCCTAGGTGATGTCATCAGACAGGACAGTAACTTCCAAATCTAGATCCCTTGTCAGTTGGGGACTCTTGGTTTCTGAGACCCCACTCATTTCCCTTCTTCAGTCTCCTTTTCTTGTTTTTTCATCTCCCAGATACCTGAACTATTTGAACATCTTAGGGCTCAGCCCTCAGATCTCTTCATCTTACTCTTTCCTTAAGTGACCTGACCCAGTCTACTTGCTTCATGAGTGAACACTTCCAAATTTAAGTCTCTATCTAGTTTCTTTCCTGAGCTCCAGATTCATCCAGTAGGGAGGCATTCGATAAATATTTGTCTGGGCAGATGTACAGATGAATGCTTGAAGGATTTAGTTGGATGGCAGAAAGTGCACAGCTTCCATTTGAAACTCTTTTTCAGAAATAATTGACTTCCTTGCTTCTCATTCTATCTCTATGTGTGTCTCCACATCCATCATTTAATACCTTACTATATTTCTGTCCCTTGTTTGTCCCTGTTTCATAATGAATAGTGCTTAAATATCACCCCTATTGCCCCCTGCTGCCGTTTATCTAAGAGGCCTTAGCTGAAAAGAAAGGCACAGAAGGCCTGCCTTTCTGTGTTCTCTGCTGTGGTGGTCTTACTCTTTTTCTTTCTTTCTTTTTTTATTTTTGCAAATTACTAAGAATCAAAGGTATATGTGGTAGGTGTATAGTTAGGGAATGGTTATTTCTTGACTTTTTCGTGTGAATTGTTGTAGAAAGAAAGTAAATGTCATAGGCAAGAAATCTGTCTCTGCGCTGGATGTATAGCTCACTGGTGGAACACTTGCCTAGCATGTATGAGGTCCTAGGTTTGATCCCTAGCACTGCAAAGGGGAAAAAAAAAAAAAAGAACAGGGTGAAGGAGAGGGAAGGGGAAGAAGACTATTTCTGTAGTATGTTAAATAAAAATTACAGTAGGTAATTGTTTTGAACAAAACTCCTGCTAAGCCCCAACAGACCAATATAAAAATCAAAATGGGCTCACTCATGTTAAAGTTCCAGTCACCAAATTGAAATCCCCAACAGTTTATCTGACCTTCTGATAATTAGGATTAGGGAGATTACAGTCACATTTCCCAAACCAGGAGAGTAAATCAACATAATAATGAATCCTAAAAAAAGGTAACCTAATGTAACCTAATGTTGATCAATAGGCTGTTTTTCTGTTGTTCTGCCTCCCTGTCTCTGTCTTACAAAGAAAGTAATTTTGAGGTGACCTTTATGCTTATTTTTTTTTCCTGTTTTCTTTAGCTTTTTTCTGTCTGTAAACCAACTTCCTCAGTTCGACTTACTGACACATCAGTTGTATTTTACGGAGTGATGTGTTGCCTGATTCTAGAATTACAAATAAAGCTCATTAAGATATTTAAGTTGTTGTAATTTTGCTCGTTGACAACAACTTTTCTTAGCGATATTCAGAAGTAGTATTTTCCCTGTTTTTAACAACGACTTCAAGATGGCAGAGTGGTTCAAGTGGTAGAGTGCCACTAGCCTAGCAAGCGTGAGACCCTGAGTTCAAACCCCAGTCCTGCCAAATAAATAAATAAATAAATAAATAAATAAAATTGATTCCAGAATTGACTTTAAATTTATTGGTTACAAGTATATTTATTATATAAACACTGTTCTATAGCTGTCTCTTGTGTCCTTGTTGCTGAAACTGGCAGAATGTTCAGTCTTGTACTATGGTGCCAGCCAATATCTTTCTAATATCCACAGTTTATGTAATATGTTATAATCACATCTCTCTACCTCAGACCTCTTGTCTTTTCTATCCTGGCGCTGGCACTGCCATTTTCCTATACACTAATGCCAAAACTTACTCCCCACTGGGCTGTTGTCTATAGCTTCTGTTTCTCACAAGCTCTTGGAATCTCTTCTGTTCTTTGGATTCCTGATGTTCCCACCCGGAGGCCACTATAGTCTTCTGCTCATTGGTGGCTTCTGATATAGACATCCACCCTTTTGACCAGAGTAAAAGCTCTTGTTAAAATGCAGGTCTGATCACAATCCATTCAACTATATCCATCACACCTTTACTAAAGAAATGGTAGTACTATAGATATACTATAGAATGTTTACTATAGTTCAAATGATCTGTGTGATTGCTGTAATTATTATACTACCCCTACAGGTGAGATTTGTCTGCTTACGTGCTCAGAGATTTTGGGTAGCTTGCCTAAAGTCACTCAGGAAGGGGCTACCCATTTGTTTTTTCATTTGTCAACCTAAAAATACCAACTCTGCTTTAAGGAAATAAGATAGTAGTTTTATTCTGAGTCAAATATGAGTGATAATGGCCTGGAAAGATGGGGTCAAATTACCCTGAATGACATGTTCCACTATGGAACAGATTACTTGACTTTTTTTTTTTTTTTTTTTCTTTTGTGATACTGCCGTTCAAACTCAGGGCCTGCACCTTGAGCCAGTCCACCAACTCTTTTTTTGTGATATTTTTTTTTCTGATAGAGTCTCAAGAACTATTTGCCTGAGCTGGCTTCAAACCATGATCCTCCTGATCTCTGCCTCCTGAGTAGTTAGGATTATAGGTGTGAACCACCAGCGCCCAGATCACGAGAACTTTTTGTAGTCACAGAAAAGAAAGTCATCAATGTGTTCACAAAATGCATGGGAGGGGTCATAAGATAGCTACAACAAGTTGGGGAAATCTATGGGGTTTTGATGTTGTCTTTATCACATTCTTACCTTTAGGGTTGGTGGAGGCTAGGTATGTCAAGCTTATATTCTGAGAGTTTTATCTAAAAATCAAGATGTTAGGTAGCATACAGATGTGGATAGTATGGCTATTTAAAAGGGGCTAAAGATAGCCTAGATAACTTTGGTTCTTTCTCCATAATCAGGATATTCTGTGCAGCCAAGGTTAAGCAGTCTGCAGGATCTTATGTAACTTCTTCAGAGAACTTCAGTCCTTAGCATTTTATTAGGTTTCTTTCCTTTTTTTTTTGGAGGCACTGGGGTTTGAACTCCAGGACCTCATGCTTGCTATGCAGGTGCTCTACCACTTGAACCACTTCTGAGACTTCTTACCCCTTTATTAAAGGGCACTCAAAGCTTGAAGTGGTGGCACTGCCTGTTATCCCCAGCACTCCAGAGGCCAAGGCAATTATGAGTTCAAAACCAGCCTGGGTTACATAGTGAGACAAACAACAATTTAAAAAAATAAGAAATTCATGATCTGGCTCAACTATATACTTTAAATCCCTGAGCACCTAAAATATTTTATTATTAATAGCTAATATTTGATTTCTATCAGCAACTATTCAGAGTATTCTGTAACATTCTGAGTATTCTAGTAACTCACCTAGTTCTCACAAAACACATGAACAAAAACAATAAAAGTAATGTAGTAGACTGACTTTAGTAGCTACAAAAAGTTCCTGGAGTAGAAGGAAAAATTAACAAGTAGACCAATGCCCTAGATATTTTACAGTATAAAGCAGGGATTGGCAAATGGTGACCTGTGTTCTAATGCTGCCAGGTTGAAAGGGTTAAAAAAGAAGCAGCAGCTTTGACAGGGTGAGGGGTCCACGAAGCCTAAAATGTACCCTGTTTGGCCCTTTTTCAGAAACAGTTTGCAGACTTTTCTAGTGTTTTTTTTTTAAATTCCTAACCTCTTCTGAAATAGGACCTTTTTTGGGAATGATGTAATGCACAATCTCTTCTCTTTGAAGAACGAGATTAGCATTCCTGATAAAATGCTTAAGTAATGTTCTTGATAAACTGTAGTGAGATTAAGATTTGTTCTCAGAAACCAGTCTTCCACCCACCCACTTGACTGCCAGTCAAGAATCTAATGTTCTTCAAACATTCTTGCATCTAGTCTGTCAATGATTATATAACCATTTCCCTATAAAATGAGTGGAGCTGGGGATGTAGCTTGGTGGCAGAGACTTGCCTAGTATGCTTGAGGCCCTGGGTTTGATCCCTCCCAAAACAAAATTAGCCCACAAAACTGGGAACTGAGGGCTGGGATTTGGGCCATATCCCTGAGAGCTGAGGATGCCAAGGTCTGGAAATAGTGTTATGAAGGCCTGAGTCCTGTTCAGAAGAGCCAGACTTCAGTTATCTTTGCTATGAAAGCACCTATCATCTTTCCCACTGCAATTTTGGAGAAAAAAAATTAAAAATTAAACCCACTATCTTACTGTAATGTTTTTTAACCTTGAAAAGGAGAAAAATAAATTTGTAAAATAAATTGTAAATGGTTATAGCAAAACACTGTAAACATGAAATGAAATAGAGAGACAGTGTGGTGACATAGAAGTTCAACGGATTTGGCTCCTATGCTGATTCCTGAATGGAGGGTGGAAGTTTTCTGTCTGCTTCTCTTGGCTATCTTAACTATGTAAACTTGTCCAGGGTCATCTGTGGTTTTTTCTTGGTGTTGCAAGAGAGCTTTCAACTGCCCCTGGGGCTAGGGAAGAGTGTGAAATGTGCCTTTGACTGCTTCTGCCTCTCTCACGTGTTTCTTTCCTGACAATTAATTTCTTGGTTCTCCATGTCCTGTTGTCTAGGGATGTCAGAAAGCAGAAATTCCACATTTCTCTTAGGCCTTGCTTAGTTTCTAATGCAGATACAGCTATCTCCTACCTTTTTCTTTGCTTTTTTGTTGATGTGGAGTCTCAGTGGCTTTCAGTTCCTGGGCTGAAGCTATCTTCCTGGCCTTAGCTTCTTGAGTAACTGGGACTACAGGTGCCTTCCAGTGCACCAGTCTTAACTTTTACCTTTCTTTTGACTTTTTCAGTGGAAATCAGAGAAGCCTTGTTTTGAGTGTGGATGAAATGCCACTTGTGTTCACAAAGTCTGCCCTGACAGCCTCCGGTTTCTTCTATAAAAATTCCCTTCACTGAGTGGCATAGCTCAAATGTTCCTTTTATCAAAACTAAAATTGTGGAAGCTTTTCTATACACTTTGCCTTTTCCTAACTGTCTGATTTGCATGTATTTGTTATTCTAGGTTGGTGACAGAGATGATTCCAATCTTTATATAAATGTGAAGCTGAAGGCTGCTGAGGAGGTAAAACCTAGCACAATTGTGCTGTCACACTCCTCCCCCACCCCCACCCTAGGTCTGCTGGTTAACCCTTGCCCTTTGTGCCCCTCCCCGTAAGATTTTCACTGATACCAACAAACATTAGTTTATGTATTCTGCAAGTCAGAACTGGATGACTTAGCACCACATCCTCTGGTTTGCCCCTGGATGCTTTCTCACTGGTGATTTTATTACTTCCCAAAGAGCAGGAATAGTAGACTTGAAATGTGTTAAGTGCAATGGTGAGTGTGAGCAAATGAAGATGAGGGGGTTGAAATGAGGGACTGATTCTTCTGAATACTTAGGGTGAAGAGAAGCCTAATACTCCTGCTTCGTTTTAGTTACATCCTTAAAAGTAATGGGCCAATATCTCAAGTTCTCTTACCATTTACCTATTTTAAATGTTCATTTTTGCAGATTGGGATCAAAGCCATTCACATTAAATTACCAAGATCAGCCACAGAATCTGAGGTGAGCCTCTGTGAACTGATTATAAGGCGGGCAGCTAAAGTACTCTCTTGTCTGCTTTTTGGTTTAGTGGATCTTTAGGAACTGAGGTACATTTTGCCGATGCAAGATCCTCAGGTAATTCTTTCTTCATACTCTCCCTCCAGAAAGTTCTTAGAAATAAATACCCACAGAGTAAATGGTGCAGTTCTTGGGTCTGAACCTTAGGTACTCAACATTTTGTTGCTTCCAGATCACCTGTGATGTTCCTTCAAAAGGATCCTTGGTCTGTAATTATCTTTGATTTAAAAACCAAATATGTATTCCATTTATATGGTGTGCAAGAATAAGCAGAGCAGGGACTGGGAATAAAGCTCAGTGGCACAGCACTTGCCTCTAGCATATACAAGGGAGGAAGGAAGGGAGGATGAGAGAGAAAATAGGCAGAACAGATCAGTGGCAATTTAAGTAAATTGTGGCTGACTGTAGGTAGAGGATTAACTGAAGGGGCAGGAGGGAAAAGGAACTTTCTGAGGTCATAGTAATGTTCTATACCTACACTGTTGTGCGTGGTGACCTTTGGCCCCATGAGGCTATTTAAATTTAATTAAAATGAAATGAAATAAAAAATTCACTTCCTCAGAATACTAGCCATATTTCAAGTATTCAGTAGCTGCCATTATATAATTATATTGTAAGGGGCAAATTATAGAAAATTTCTGTCATCATACAAAGGATTATTGGACATTGCTGATCTACACCTTTTTGTTGTTTTCCCAGTTTTTATTCACAACCTCAAAATATTCCCCATGAGTTTTAATCCTTTCTTTGTTCCAATTAACTTGGAAGTAACTTAATTTACAACTGTTTTTTGCTTGTTTACAATTATCACAGGTTATTTTTCTTTAAGTATTTTTTGAAGAGATACTTCAAATACCTTTTGGAAAAAGTTAGCTTAGAAGTCATGGTGATCTTTTTTTGAGATGGAGTTTCATCATTATGTAGCCCAGGATAACTTCGAACTCGTGATCCTCCTGTCTCTGCCTCCTGGCTGCTATTTTTGGTGTGTGTCTGGCTGTTTATTGTGATCTTGCTCTTGATCCTTTTGATGGTTGCAGCCCCTCCACCAAGATTCTCAGCTTTTCCATTCACTTTGATTCTTAGAGAAATGACTTGAAATGGGTAGCATCCATGATTCCATCTTCTACAGGGTGGGTACAGTCAAGGGTGAACTTCAGAACCTGCTTCTTTTTTGCTGCCCTTCACCACAAGCTTTTTCATAGATGCCATGATGGCAGTGCAGGCAGAAAGGGCTACCATGGGTCTTGCTGTTGTAGTAATAAGTTATTAATATTTTTAACTTTTTCTCTAATAGATTTCTTTCCAGACACCTGTGGGGTTATGTTAGTCAGCTTTCCATTAATGTGACAATTTCTGAGATAATCAGCTTGTAAGGAGGACAGATTTACTTTGGTTCATGGTTTCAGAGGTTTTAGTCATGGTTGCGTGACCCTATCACTTTGAGTCTGTGGCAGCACAGTCTATTGTGGCGGGAGTGCTTGGCAGAGGAGGCCTGCTTAACCTCACAGCGACCAGGAAGCAAAGAAAGAGAAAGAAATCCATCTCCCAGTATCTCATTCAATGGCACTTTCTCAATGACCTACTTCCAGTAGACCTCACCTCCTAAATGTCCTACCGCTTGCCAGTAGCACCACAGACTGGGTACTAAGCCCTCAACACCTGGGCCTTTGAGACATTTCAGATCCAAACTATAGCAGATCCATTCTGTGTTAAAATAGAGTTTCTCTCAGGATTCACAAAGGAGGTACATTCTGAGAGGACTATAATTAAATTCTTGGGAGAAATGGGGCAACATGATTTTTGCCTTTGAAAGTTATTTCTCCTCCCTTTTGATTTCTGTGCTGTATACAAATTATCTGTGGTATTACTTTTAGGTGTTAAAGTGCATCACATCCTTGAATGAAGACTCCACAGTACATGGATTTATAGTGCAGCTACCTTTAGATTCAGAGAATTCCATTAACACTGAAGCAGTCATCAATGCTATTGCACCTGAAAAGGATGTGGACGGGTGAGTGTGACTTGATTTCCTACTTTGCATTGTGTGTTTTTATTTATAATACATTTCTATTTGGAAGTGCATATTTCTAAAGAATAAAGATAGCTGACTATCTTTATTTCTCCCTTATTTTTTATCACTTCTGTTATTTTCAGATTGACTAGTGTCAATGCTGGGAAACTTGCTAGAGGTGATCTCAGTGATTGTTTTATTCCTTGTACACCCAAAGGATGCTTGGAACTCATCAAAGAGACAGGTAAAAACAAACAAGCCAACAAACAAGAAAGCACTGTTTCTTGGAGCCTGTCTTGACATGTAGAGGTATAGAGGGAGTACACTGTGGATCATATTGATTGGCACAAGGGCCCGTCTAGGGGTTTAACCTGAATTCTCAATTTTCTCAAAAACCCTGTGAAAGAGTTGCTATTGTTCAACAGGCTCAGAGCTGAGTGTGTTAGCACATATAATCCCAGCACTTGGGAGGTGGAAGCAGGAAGATCAAAGTTTGAGGGCAACCTGAACTCCATATCTTCCCCACCCGCCAAAAAACAAAACAAAACAAGGGCTTGGGATATAACATGCCCAAGACTTGGATTTGATTCCTAGTACCACCACCAAAATAAATAAAGGGTAGGGGGAGGGGAAAGGAAAGGAAGGGGGAAAAAACAGGCTCAGAGAGATATGGAGTAATTTGCCTAAGAGATAACAGAACCAAGATTTGAACTCAGGGTTGTTTGAATTTGAAGCAGTTTATTTTTGTGAAAAATATATCCTGTATGATAATAAGAATTAAGAGAGTATGGAAGTATACACAGTGAAAAGTCCCATTCTTAGAACTGGTGCTGAATCTCCATAGTGGTTCCAAGAGTAGACAGATGGCTGGACATGAGTCTCTTGAATAGTTGGCTGTGTTATCTCCCCAAGTAGCTGGTACCTTGGTATTTTAATTTTGTTATGAATACTTTTAGCAGAGGTTATTTTTCACAAGGGAACAGCTAAGTAGGTCAGAAGTTTCAAGTGGAAAGTTTGGCGGCATAAATGAAAGTTTCTGTGGTTGGCAAGAAAAGGGCAAACCATAAGCCTTGGGACAGCTATTAAAGTTCAGTCCCACACCTGAATTTATATTCTTTAGCATATTTTACAAACAGTTTATTGCAGTTTAATGAAAATAAATTCCATGAACTACAGCAGCTATAAGCATTTGCAGTGCTAGGGATTGAAGCCAGGGCCTCATGCATGCTAGTCAAGTGTTCTACTACTGAGCCACAACCGGTGTACTTTTTAAGCACATCATAGTTTGAGGTCTTTACTTCTAGGTGTTCGTGGTCTTGACATTATGTAAAAGCTGGACTTTTTCTGATAAAATTGGTTTTATGCAAGAAGCATAATTTAAACTCAGACTGCCTCAAGCAGTCCTGATTGGTAAAGGAGTTGAGCAGAGTCCTCAAGACCTCTCTGCTCTCTGCTTCCTTCTGTGTGGGCAGGTCATTCTCAGGCTCCTCATGGAGGCCCTAAGCAGCTCCAGTCTTCTTCCTCTGACTGGGACTGGATCTCATCCACCAGGGGATGAAATAGAGGCATTTGTCCTAATCATCTCAGAAGAGTGGGAGTCAGTCGTGAAAAAGTCCTTGGTATATTGCCAGAAGAATGGATGCTGAGTTAGCAGAAAGGGAGTTTTTCACTACAGTTAAATCTCTCCTGTATCATTTCCCTGTGAATAACCATATGATTCAGGTCCTAAGCCAAAAGAGAAATTTAGATGAGAATCTGCATGAATAAACTTAACAAAGTTGGAAAGAATTACTGATACTAATCTAATTTCCTTTATTTCTCTCCACTCTGTTCCATACACCCTAGTTGTTATAACTGTTTTGCCCATGTAATTTAATCTGATAACTTCTTCCATATGGCTGTTTAGCTGTGTGCCAGGGATTCTTTTTTGAGTGTAGGATTTCTTCCCACTTCCCTATGACTCAATGAGTGGATCTTGGCCTAAGCTGTTCTCCAAAACCCACAGAAAGAAGGACAGTGTATAAGTCCCAATCTGTAGCTGAAACCCTGTAAGGCTGAGAACGTCGTTACTAAAGAAGGGATGTTTTTAGGAAGGTTTCCACCTGATGTTAAGAACCTGCTTTTGTGCACTTGTTCTCAGTTTTTTACTTGGTGGCGTGTGAAGGAGGGTAGCTGCTTTCTCCCAACTCTGATGTGTACTGGCTTTTTTTTCAGGGGTGCAGATTGCTGGAAGGCACGCTGTCGTGGTTGGGCGCAGTAAAATAGTTGGTGCCCCGATGCATGACTTGCTGCTGTGGAATAATGCCACAGTAACCACCTGCCACTCTAAGACTGCCAATCTGGATGAGGAGGTAGGGGGTCTAGAGAAGAGGAGAAGGTTGTGTGTGTGTGTGTGTGTGTGTTCTTTTACAAGAAGAAACAAATTCAAATTATAGACTTTTCCAAGTTTATACAGACTTCATCTGACTGTATACTTTTTTATTTTTTTTTGAGATGGTTTCACTATGTAACCAGGCTGGCCTTGAACTTGTGATCCTCCTGCCTCAGCCTCCTGAGTGCTGAGATTACAGCTGTGTACTACCATGCCCAACTCTGACCATATACTTTCTATACCAGTCTGCTTCCTGACTGACAGACTAACAATGTAGGCACTGGAATTTTCTCTCCCTTATTCCCCCATGTCCAGTGTGTGTGACAATGGTGGCCTTGGAGGTAGAGGTGCTCCAGAGGAGGTTGTGAGCAGTACACATCTATGGGCAACTTGTTCTCAACACCACGTCAGATTCCTGAACCCAAGATGGCTAACATGTCCACATCCCTGTTGACAATGCAGTGTTATTTTAGAGAGAGGCCCAGCGCCTTCTGTTTTAATCTTCCGAAAGCATGCTTATGTGGAAGGTGGTAGTGCCCATATTCTCTAGGAGCGGGCACATTCTCCACATGTTACATTATCCAGGGAGTAGATCTCAGAGTCTGATTACAATCCCAGTGCCCTCTCCACCCAGCAGTTTCTCATTGCCTTTGCCCTTGAGTAAAATACCTAGTGAAAAGGGGACTTTTGGCAATGAGCATGGCACATGAAGGTGTCAGAAACTGTGTAGCTTGTATTTGAATCCTTAACCCGATATCCTAAGAGTTGATAATTAAGAATTCAATTCAAAGTTCAAGGATGTCCTTTCCACTTCTAGAGTTTCTTGGTGTGTATCTCATTATTTAATTTCTGAAATCTGAATCCCTTCCCCCTAGGTTAATAAAGGTGACATCCTAGTGGTTGCAACTGGTCAGCCTGAAATGGTGAAAGGGGAGTGGATTAAACCTGGGGCAGTCGTCATTGACTGTGGAATCAATTATGTCCCAGGTGAGTATTGCATGGGAGGATGGGGGTTTCTGGTAAAGTATCAGGAAGGAAAGAAAGCCTGGGAGAAAACTTCTTTCTCACTTATGCTTGAAGTCCTGAGGTTTGGAGAGACTGACTTGCCTAAGAATGCACACATTTAGTAGACAAAATAGTTGTCACTTCTGGGCTGGCCACCCTAATGTCAGAGGCTGTGACATTCACTGTCATGCTATTCAACTTCCAAGTTGACCTAGTCTAGAGAAACAGAGAGAGGAGGGGTAGGAGGATGATAACTGTTCTGTCTTCATAGAATCACCCTTTATTTTAACAAAGGTGATGGATAGATTTAAATTGAATAGTGTGGAGTCCTTCCTTATCCATGGTGGGGCTTTGCTTTCCATGGGTTCAGTTGCCCATGGCCAAACGTAAGTTTTAAATTGTGTGCCATTTGAGTAGTTACTGAAATCTTGAACCATTTATTTCTTTCCTACCCCTTCCTACCTGAGACATGAGACATCTCTTTGCCATATCCACACCAAATACATTACCTGCCCATTAGTCACTTAGTAGCCATCTCAGTTACCAGATGGACTGTGGCAGTATTGCAGTGTTTGTATTCAAGTAACCCATACTTTACTTAATAATGGTCCAAAACTGCAAGAGTAGGGATACTAACAATTTGGATATGCTAAAGAGAAGTTGTGAAGTGTTTTTCTTTATGTTAAAAGGTAAAAGAAAGCATAAAGTACTTATAAGATACTTATGAAAGATCACATTCCTGTAACTTTTGTTAAAGTGTATTGTAGTAATTGTTCTATTTCATTGTTTGTTATTAATTTCTTACCTTGCTTAGTTTATAGATTAAATTTACATAGATATGTATGTGTATATAGGACAACACTATATATAGAGTTTGGTACTGTCCATGGTTTCAGGTATTACCTGAGAGTCTTGGAGCATATCCTCCCACAGGTAAGAGGAAGCTACTGTAGAATCCCTGCAAAGTGCTGTCAGAGTCCAGATGAGAGACTCATTCTAATATTTGGGCTGAGTGTATAGCTCAGTGGTAGAGCACTGCCTTGCATGTGTGAGGCCCTGGATTCCATTCCTAGCACTTCCAAAAGAAGAAAATAAATGTTTGGCTTGGACTTTTTTCTAGGCAGAGAAGATAAATGCAGCCTTTAGTCATAGCTAAAACTGTATGTGGCATCCTCATTCCCACGTTACTGCTGATTCTCTTGTTTTAGTTAATGTACCATCATTCCGCCTCCTCGTAGGTCTGAAACCTTTTTGGTTTCCCTCCCAGCCATTCTCTATATTGCATCCATTTTTACTTTTTTCCAGTACTGGGGTTTGAGCCTCACACTTGCTAGGCAGGTGCTCTACTGAGCCACTCCACTAGTCCAGTATCCATTTTAAGTATTAGGAACTACTATTCTCTCTCCCCTGTTCTCATTGTCATCCCTGAGTGTCATCCCCCCAGCCGAGGAGTATTGTCAATTTCCTCCTGGGTTTCCTCCCTACAGCTGGTTCTCACTCCCATCTACCACCTGTTCTTGCCTTGCCATGCTCACCTGCTGGTGTGGATCTCCCCCCCACATCTCTCAGACTCCTTCATGTCACATGTGTGTCAGTGATCCCTGTGGCCTTTCATCTCGCTTGCACTTAGTGAATACCTGGCTTTAGCTGTTGGAAGCTGGACCACTTTCCCTTCCCTGCATGTGCCTGGCTTGTCCTTTGCAGCTCCAGTGCCTGCCTCCCTAGTGGATCAGGATGTTCTTTCAAATATAAGATCTCAAAGAAGAGTATGGCAATACCTGTATATGTAACTGGTGGATTCAAGATAAGAACATTCTTTAACTGAGCAGCTACTTCTATGCATCAAGCACCATGCCAGGCCTTGGGCTACACAGCTAAGGCTCAACTGTGGACTTCATTCATTCATTCATTCATTCATTTATGCTGGGAATCAAAGTCAGGGCCTACATCACAAGAACCCCTCCCACCCTTTTAGATTTCACTTCAAACTCTTCTTGCCCAGCTCCTCTCTGTATATTTTACCTATTCCTCCTTCCAAACTGGTCTGATTTCCCTTCAACCATGGATGAGCTCTCTTTTGAAAACCCTTCTCTTCCTTCCTCCTCTCCCATAGAATGTGGCATTTCCTTTATTGTGTGTATCCCATGTTCCATTTCTTGTGCCCTGTCCAGTTTCCTACCTTCTGACAGCTGGCTCTTAGATCTGTTGGTTACAGTGAATATAATCTTTATTCTTCCTATTCAAGTTTGAAATGCAGACACCAAGCTGCCAGGAGTATTAGTCACTGTCAAGTGCTCACCGTTTTTAACCTCCCTCCCACTCTCCCTACCATACTTTTAAGACAGTAGCTCATAATTGATCACTCATTTTCTGGTAGTATAATTATCTAATGGGTGATAAAGAAATTGCTCTCCTACAACTCCTCACTTTGAATCCTTGCAATATGACATTCAAACCCATTCTGCATCTTCTGTTCATATTTCTGCATTGGGCATTTTTGTGTTACTAGGGTTTGTTAGGCACTCTACAACTTGAGCCATGCCTTCAGCCCTGGGCATTGTTTGGATTAGATGTGAGAGAAAAAGAAGAACACCCTGGACGGGGATTTGGAATTTTATAGTCTGAAATGTTGGTGTAAACATGACACTTAGCATCCTGTTCACATTGATTCCTCATCTAGATGGTAAAGTAAAAATCAAATCAAAGCAAATCGCCCCTTCTGGTGAACATGCTTTCACTGATCCTGTGCATACAGGGAAATAGATGCTGCTGGGGCTGCATGTTATAGTCCCCAGTGATGGGAGAAGCACCAAGTTACAGACCATTTTCAGGCTGTAGGATTGAAAGAGTGTTCTTTACAAAACTCCATCTTAGTTTATTTTCATTTTTTTTGTTTTGCTAAGGATCAAACCCAGGGCTTCATGCTTACTAGGCAAGTGCTCTACCACTGACCAAATCCCCAGCCCTTGAGTTTTTTTTTGGGGTGGGACTGGGGTTTGAACTTGGCTTCATGTTTGCTAGGCAGGCATTCTACCACTTGAGCTATACCTCCAGCCCAAATCTTCATTTTATTCTACTTTTTAATTTATTTTGCTTTTGGCAGTACTGGGCTTTGAACTCAGGGCCTCACAGTTGCTAGGCAGGTGCTTTATCACATGAGCCATTTTGCTACCCCAAATCTTGATTTTAGACGCAACATATTCCACAACTGGGCCACTTCTTGGTTCATATTTTGATTATTTCTTTCATTTGCTGGAGAATGGGTACAGTGAGAGATTAGCATACATGAGCCTCAAGGTTTAATCCCCAGCACCAGAAAAAACAATTAATAATACATTGTTTGTGTGATCCCCTCAGGGATAAATCACTTAACATATTAAGAATGAATTAAGGTGTGTACATTTTTTTCAAAAGAATTCTTTTAAATTTATATTTTTTGACATGCTAGAGATTAATCACAGGAGTACATGATAGGCACTTGCTATCATCCCCAGCAAAAAGAATATTTTTAAAGGTTCAAGTGTAGAGCAGAAAGCATTGGCCAAAAGAACTTGTGAAAGTGTTCTTCCTGTGTAGCTTACTGCTAAAGATAATTTGAGAAGGGCTAGACTGCTAGCATTTTACTTGGAGGGGGTTCAAAAAGAGGGCACAGCTTCTTCAGCATACCTCAATCCAACCTCAACCTAGCTAGTGTCTTCTGTACTGCCCTCTTTAATTAGGGGTGCCCAAATTAAATACTAAGGAGTCCAGGCTCAGGTGAGTTTTATACATGCAGCTTCTCAATGAAAGACACATGCTAGGGCTAGGAATAGATAGTCTAAATGTCTGTCTGTACTTAGGTTGAGAAGTGATCGCTTTTCCACTGAGCACTCATCCTGTGAGACACTGTACTTATGTCAGCCAGCACTTAAGTCAACCCTGACAGTATTTGGTGTAGGGGCAGACTTGAACTTGACCAGTTCAGCCTTTGGTTGCACAGTAATTCGTGACTCTGTCTATGTAGAAACTAAAATGACTAATGCTAACAAATATAGGTGCATAACTAGCATTTTAAGCTAACTTCCAGATAAGACTGTTGAAACCTCTACAAAGGACAACCATATATTTCCTTGGCATTTTGAAACACCTTTAGGGGTTGTAAGGTAACTGTTCTGCCATAGCTTGCTGGTTCAGAATCTTCTAGAAACCTGAAGGAGTTGTGCTCACCAACTCCAAGTACATATAAAAAATATCTTGCACATCTAGGGTGGGAGGAAGAGCCCTTATATTTGGAGAAGGCTTTTTCAATTTCAGTTTCAAGAATGTGCACACTTTCTTGTTTGGTTCTCTGGAAGCTTGTGCGATAGGTAGTGTTAATCGTATCTTTGGACTTAGAGAATATGGAGCCCCAAGGGCTGAGGACAAACAATTAGTGAAAGAGCTTATCCTAGAGCAGGTCTCTTAGATCAGTTTTTTTGGTTATACCTGGAAGCTTCCTCTCAGTTGTGGAGATCTGCTCAAAGAGAAGTGGTTTTGTGGCTAAGATTCTACCAGACCCTGTTTTATTGCTCCAAGGTGTAGGCCTGTACCCCACCCCCTCCAGGAAGTGCACCACAGCCAAGTGTAGGATGTTCTTTGTGTGAGTGAGCAATGATGCATCGCTCGATTTTGTTCTTTTAAATAGCTATTCTTTGCTGGTAAGATTTGTAGTTGTTCTTAAATCCTTTTAAGGGAAGTATAATTATATTCTTTGCCTTTAGCATACATTTAAGTGGTTGCTCCTCTTTAGAATCGGGTGTTGAATTGTTCCTCCAGCTCAAGCATGGAGCTCACAAAATGCTGACAGTTGCTGTAGAAACGGTATCCGGCAGCTGTGGCATAGTTGGAGCTTTGTGCACCCAAAAAATTCCTTTGTAGGCCTTAGCAAATTAACATTTCAAAAGGTGCTCATTATATACTGGGTAGTTGGTTTTAAGAATAAAAAGCAGTACTTTATTTGCCACCTGAGGGATTACAAAAGGATTCTCCAGGTTCTGGAAAACCACATACACATTTTGTGAATTTTTACAGGTAATATTTTTTCCTAGGAAATGGGAAATACCTGTCATCCAGTACTGGTGTTGGGGGCAAGCCCAGGCCCTCGCACATGCTAGACTAGTGTTCTACCTCTAAGCTATACCTCTCACCCTATCCTGTAGAGAGTTTAAGAGGCATTTGAGCCTGATGGGACAAATACACCCCAAATTTTTAGTTTTGGGAACCAACTGTCATAGTTAATCATTTAACTTGGAGTTAAACACCAGAATTCCAATTCTGAGACTCTGCTTTGATTTTTCTTTTCCTTGACAAGACCATACAAAACCAAATGGGAGGAAAGTTGTGGGTGATGTGGCTTACGAGGAGGCTAAAGAACGAGCGAGCTTCATCACACCTGTCCCCGGCGGTGTTGGGCCCATGACTGTGGCAATGCTAATGCAGGTACTTGAGAATAAAAGTTTCTGTGATCATTCTAATGACCTGATAGAATTCTAGTTGCTGTCAAGAGACATGGCATAAAACCTACACAGAAGTTAGGCAGAGATGTGAATCTGTTGAAAAACAAAGGCAATGAAAGAACAGAGTAGTATCAGGCACATTAATAGAGGAAGTGGCACAATTGTTATTTCCATTAGAATATAATAACTTCACAAACAGAAAAGTAGAAATACACTGACTTGGCTAGGTCTATTTTGGTTTGCTTGGTCTTTGTGACACGCACCAGCTGGTACTGGGGGAGACAAGTAGTCCCAGGGCATGGTAGGTGCCTGTGAAGTCACCTAGAATGGAAGAATGCTTTGAGGGTCTTTGTTTTGCAGTACTGGGGAATCAAACCCAAGGTCTCCAGCTCCTTAGGCTAGGTAGGCACTCTGCCACTTGAGCCACTCCACCAGTCCTCATTTTGGGAATGAACAGGAACAACCGGGGTTTTGGAAATGAGGTGGAGCATAAGGTAATCACCTCTTCTAAGTACCATTTATGTCACTTTGCTCAGAGCACAGTAGAGAGTGCACAGCATTTCCTGGAGAAATTTAAGCCAGGAAAGTGGACGATTCAGTACAACAACCTTAACCTGAAGACACCGGTTCCAAGGTAAAAATGAAATTTCCCTGAATAGAACTTTGTGGGTTGCTGGTTTATAGATGGCGGGTTCTGTAGAGTACACCCATGCTTTTACTGGAAGCACATAGTTAGGGTTGGGGTGGGGTGTCTTTACTAGTATGAGATTAATTGAATTCAGTGCGTAAAGATTGATACCTATTTTCCATGTTTTTAAAGTGACATTGATATATCACGATCTTGCAAACCGAAGTCCATTGGTAACCTGGCTCGAGAAATTGGCCTGCTCTCAGAAGAGGTAGAATTATATGGTGAAACAAAGGCCAAAGTTCTGCTGTCAGCGCTAGAGCGCCTGAAACACCAGCCTGACGGGAAATATGTGGTGGTAACTGGGTATGCATTAGTTCAAGTTGCCAGTCAAGTTTCTTTTTTAGGGGGGATTGTGGGCAGTACTGGGGTTTGAACATAGGGCTTTGTGCTTGCAAGGCAGACACTCTATCACTTGAGCCACCTCTCCAGCCCCAATCAAATCTTAATATTCATCCTGATTGGTGTCACCAGCAGTTGTAGTTGTACTTAGTGTGCATTTGTGGAGGTGCCATTAAATTGTTTTTTTAATTTTCACATGTATTTGATCCTTCCAAGAATCCTGTGAGGTAGCAAAGAGCAGAGATCATTCAGAAATGAGAAGATTGGTCAAAGTTATCCATGGAGTAACTTTGGGTGGAAGAGTTTGGTTTTCAGGTAGAATCACCTTTTAATTTTTTAAATCCAGAATTTGTTAATTCAGTGGGTGTCCTAAGCAGTCATTTTTATTTCTGGGCTAAGTTGCTACATTATAAATAAAAGCTAGGGTTTTTTTTTTGTTCATTTGTTTTACAGTGCAGGGGACCAAACCTAGGGCATCATGCATAGGTAAATGTCTACCACTGAGCCATACTCCAGCTCCAAAAGTTAGTTGTTTGTTGTTTTTAAGACAGGGTCTTGCTATGTAGCCCTCAAACTCGCAGTCCTCCTGCCCAGTCTCTTGAGTGCTGGGATTATAGAAAAGCACCACCATGTCTAGCAAAAAGTTGGTTTTTGAGACTATAAATTGAGAAATTAAAATTATAGCATTGTCTGGCAAGGGCAAGTATAAAGGAACTACATTTGCTCTGTACAATGAAAAGAGCTAAGATACAACAGTTTGTTTTATTTTGCTTTTTTTTTTTTTAACTTTTGGAAATTACAACTAAGACTCTTAGAAAAGATGTCTCTCAGGGCTTTTTGTCTTCCTTTTCTTTCCTGAGACAGAGTCTTACTATGTATCCCAGACTGGAACTCTTGATCCTTCTGCTTCAGTCTCCCCAATGCTGGGATTTTGGGATGAGCCAGCACATTTTTCTCTTGTTGATCTGTCATAGAGATCTCAACTAAGAGCTATGAAGGAGAAAGGGAAAACAATTTTTCCCTCCCTTATAATGTTATATTATTAGGATAAGGTTAATGGGGTCAGTGGCTCTGTGGGGGCAGTTATAAATTGAGAGAGAGGAGTTGGAGCTGAGTTATTAGAGTTATTAGAAAAAAAAAGGGTGGGGGGAGGGTGTAAAATTTGAGCAGGGGAGAGGAGGAAAAAAACATAATGTTGTAAAGCCAGATTTGAGAATTACTGAAGTTGTAAGAACTGTAGTCCAGTTTGAATAATCAATGCTGATTTCTAAATGTGGCTTTTTTGGTGGGGGTGGAGGGGAGGCAGTAACTTCATAAGACCAAATAAAAATCACAGGATATAGAATTGTCTGGTAATAATAGCAAATACTCCAAAGTTTCCTATTTGTGACGCATTCTCAGTTGGTGGCTAGTCTTGATTTATCTTTCAGATAGTGTTACTATACCAGGCTCATCACTGTCACCCAAAGAGCCAATCCTTGACCCCATGAGTCTTGCAAAAGAGAGTTCAATTCACAAAGCAGCCACGCATGAGGAAATGAGAGCCCCTGAACTCAAGTCTGCCTCCCTGAGGATAGGGTTTGAGGTATTTATGTTACTGGAATGTAAAGTTCATATTGCTTACCACTCCATCAAAAATGCGAGAGACAGAAGTTAATGGAAGGAAATAGATTTATTCAAGGTCAGCCCTGAGGAAAATAGAGGAGACTTTATAACAAAATTTTGGCAAGCACAAAGCCCTAACAAGCATGGCCAAGAAAATGAAAGAGTGGAGAGATATTTATTACCTGCAGCAGAGGAGGAGGGCAGGGAAGTTACTTCCTGTCTTGTCTCTCATTATTTAGATTAAGGGTCATTTTCTTGGGTCTGCTAGGTCTGACTTAGTGATTCAGATGGACTTATTTCTCTAAGTGAACCTGTTCCTCTTTTGCTTTCATCTTGAAGAATAACTCCAACACCCCTGGGAGAAGGGAAAAGCACAACCACAATTGGACTGGTACAAGCCTTGGTGCCCACCTTCATCAGAACGTCTTTGCGTGTGTACGACAGCCTTCTCAGGGCCCTACTTTTGGAATTAAAGGTACAAGTTGGGCTAGGTCTGGGTGGCTAGAGGGTGCCTACCTCTCCTTAGTCCTCCCAGACCCACTCAACCTATAGGTGCTTACTTAGATACCTGGGATGTCTTCCTTGTATCCCACAAAAGCAATGCATTTGATGAAGACTTTTATCCAGTCACCCTAATTCCTGTCACTGTTCAACATTGCCCAGGGCTTTCCTGGGATGGGTAATATATAGCTAGAGGTCCTTTAGTTTGACCCTAGTAGTCCATTGTCACATTGACAATAAAGGTTATCATAGCTGCTGATTGATTCTGACACACTGAGACAAGAGACAAATCCCATGTGTTTCTTTATTGGGAATGAGAGAAGCCTACACTTGTTGGGTGTATGCTTTGCTCTAAGTATTATGCTAAGTAGTTTATACTGCTTTCATCGTATCCTCCCCTGTGAGATAGTGTTATCACTTTACAGTAGCAACCATGGGACATTAGCCATAACTTGGTCAAGACACTGTCTATTTCAAACTCCAAACCACTATCATCAGCACAGTGCTGCTTCTGATTGGATGAGAACACAATACAAGTCATCATATTTAACCTTATTTTGATTGCTGCAGTTCTGCAGATACGCTCTTTCACTTCTATGTTTTTATTTACTTTTTTCAGAATATTTATTTATTTATTTTCAGTCTGAGGAACCCATGGCAAGCACTGTCCTACTGTTAGTTACAATATTAGGTTGGTTCTTGGAGTTAGCTTTCTCATTTGCTGGGTGACAGTATAGCACACTCTCCTTGTCCCATTAGTTACTGTTTATGTTGATAGCAGGCACACTTCTGCCTACCTGCCAATTTTATAAATGTGCTGGCTTAGTTCTGGTTTTGAGTTTGTCTTAACAACCTTCTTTTGACTCCAGAAGGAGCCTTTTCCCTTGCTCTGGTTAATGAATCCATTGTTTCCTTTTTTGTTGCACATACCCTCATTGCATGGTCTCTGTCTCACAAAAATAAAACCTGTACTCCAAGTTGGCATTTATCTCACTGATGACATGGTAAACTGGACATTTTCCACTGGTCTTTTGTTAATAATTCAAACAGGCCTGCAGAATTCTAGCAGTTAAACTGTTTTCTAATACATGTCTCCTATTTGGGAAGAAGTGGAGTCTCTATGTTAGGTTAGACTCTGTGTTAAATACTGCTTTTTTAAAAGTCAGAATAGCTTTGTCAGCTGGGTCTTTTAACATGTTAGGAATCACTGGGAAGCTTTCTAAAGATAATGAATAGGTATGTATGTATGTGTTCATGATTTTGTCATTTAGACTTAGATTTCAGTTCAGCATGAACAAGATCAAGTGTTTTAATGTGGTAAAAGAAAATTAGAAAACACTTGATCAAGTCTGTCCAAAGGAGTGTGAAAAGTAAACAAATAATATGATTAGTAGTTATAAAATCATGGGTAAGCATGTTTAACGTGGGTGCCCACTCTTGATCTGTCCCCTAGGTGGCGCTGCAGGAGGTGGCTACTCCCAGGTTGTTCCTATGGAAGAGGTAAAGCAATGTGGGATTTGGATGAATCAGCCCTATATGGTAGCTTCTTCACTCCAGAGATTAAGTTTTTTGGTTTGAGTTTTGGTTTTATAAGACAGGGTCTTGCTATGTAGCCTAGGCTGGACTTGAAGTCCCTGTGTAGCTCAGGCTGATGCAAACTCATGATCCTCCTGCCTCAGCCTCCCAAGTGCTGAGATTACAGACAGGTGTGCCTGTCATGCCTGGTGAGATTAAGCTTTTTGAAAGAACTCTTAGTGGACAGATGACTTGTTTCTCAGCAGAAGCAACACATCTTAACTTGTTGACTCATGAAACAGCTTAGCTTCAGAGTCTGGCTTTCAGTGGGAATTATCATTTTAATCACATGAACAAATTAAGCTTGGTATTGAGAGGCACCAATACAGTGAGGCCAGAGTCCTAAGGACAGAAATGGGAGCATGTATGGATATGGGGTTGGAGCTGCTCCAGTGCACTCCTTCCCACTCATTATTACTGGGTGTAAATTTTCCTCAGTAATCCATGGAGCTGGTGATCCCCATGGTGTAGCATTTGTGATCCTTAGACATGTCACTTGGGGAAAACCACAAGTTCTGTTTGGGAGGTGATACTTTCAGGCCACGTGTCTTGTTCATGGGCTCCTACTCTTGGACATTTATCCACCTGCCATGCTGCCGTCAGTAATCCATTGGTGTTAACATAGGGACTGATAGGATTACAATAGAATGAAAGTTGAAAGAGACCAATTGGGAGACCAAGGTGACTTCTGCTCTTTTGTAGTTTAATCTTCACCTCACTGGTGACATCCATGCTATCACTGCAGCTAATAACCTCGTCGCTGCGGCCATCGATGCTCGAATGTTCCATGAACTGACCCAGACAGACAAGGTAGGGTGCAGAGGACACTTTTTTTTTTGTTTGTTGTTTGTTTGTTTTTATGTGGTGCTGGAGATTGGACCCAGGGCCTTGCTCATTCCAGGCAAGTGCTCTATCACTAAGCTACATCTCCAGCCCTTTTATTAGTTTTATTTTGAAATAGGATCTCCCTGAGTTATCTAGGTGGACCCAAACTTGTGATCCTCCTGCCTCAGCCCCCCAAGTAGACTGGCTTGCACAGGAACTCAGCACCTGAGTTATTGTTGGTCCCTTGGGCACTGTTGCAGGGAGCCATGTAGTGGGACTTCTCTCATACAAAAGCCATTTCCTCCTTTTCTTTAAGGCTCTCTTCAATCGTTTGGTACCAGCAGTAAATGGAATAAGAAAGTTCTCTGATATCCAACTCCGAAGGTTACGGGTAAGTTTTTCCTTCTTCATTGTGATACTGTGTGAAAGTTGGTAATTGATAAGAGGGGAAAAACTCTCCTTAGAGGTTTTGGATCTAGTTATTAATAATCATACACCTAAGCTCATGATTTAGATGCTAAGGATAAGTGGTAAGGTTTTTCTTACTTATTTATGAATTTTAAGTGGTTAGTCCTGGAACAAATAAAATACAGACCGCTTCCCTTAGTTAAGAAGAAAACTGGTGCCTGCCTACTTGAAGTATTTGTTTATTTATTTACTTACTTATTGTACTGGGACTTGAACTCAGGGCCTTGTATTTAATAGGGAGGCACTCTACCTTTGAGCCACTCCCCCTGCCCTCTTTGTGTTGGTTATTTTTGAGATAGGGTCCCATTTTATGCCCATGCTAGCCTGGACTGAGAGATTCTTCTGTTTGTGCTCCCCTACGTAGCAGTGATGACAGGAGCATGCCACCATGCCCAGCCATTGGTTGAGGTGGGGTCTCATAATTTTTTGTTCTGGTAGGCCTCAAACCACAATCCTCCTGATCTCTCCCTCCCAAGTAGCCAGCATTACAGGCTTGAACCACCATACCCAGCTTCAAGTTTATATTTTGATGCTGCAAGAATAGTCTCCTGGAGCTCTCCTTTACCCACATTCATTAGTTGTTTATATGTTGCCCTACTTGATTTACAATTCTGTCAGTACTTTTAAATATGCATTTTTTGGACCATTGAGAACAACTAATTTTAAGCAGTTTAATATTCCAACAGAATTGTGTTCTGAGGGGCAGCAAGGTACCATGGAAAGAGCAGGCAACTAATGGAACTTCCTGTCAGATGTAGAGGGGGTGGGCAGGCTCTAGAATTTTAAGTCACAAGGCTTGCCCAAAACTACAGTACCCCTTGCAGGGGTAGAGGCAGAGTCTGGGCCTCCCACCCCACACTCTCAGGCATTCTGCATTAGAGTTATCACAGTCTGCCTGCAGTGCTCGGTTGAAAGTGGGTTGTCAACAGCAGAATCTTAGCAGGGTGACTAAGGGTTTTGTTGATTTCTGTGAACAATGTCATGTTCTAGTCTTGTGGGACTGAGGTTTCAAAACAGATTCTCACAGCACAAGAAAGGAACTATAGGCAGAGTGGCTCTTACTGGGGCCCAGTTAAACTACCAGGAGTTAGAAGAAAGGAACATATTTTATAAGCATTTTCTATTTTGGGACATGACCCACATAAATACTGTAAATGAATAAACTTTCCAAATTCTGTGAGGAGGAAATATAGAAAACCCTTTTTGTATCTTTTGAAAGAGTAAGAAGTTAGCTAAAGTATAACACTGTATAAAAAGCATGTAAAAGTGATTACATTGATTTTGTTTGTTTGTTTTTACCTTTTTGTCTTTCCTAAAATTTCATTTAAATTGGGCTTCTCGATAGTCTATGATATAAAAAGCTTTGCATATTGCTTTTCAACATACTTGGCTTTGGTGAATAAAGAAGCATCATAACACTTCTTGGTCACTGTGTTCTTAGGGCTACATGCTCACTTTCAAAGACAAATATGAATAATACCTTTTTGTGTATGCGAGTAGGAACTACAAGCTCCGGGTTTAACTGAAGGCGTCACCATTTTCCCCTCTGAATTCAAGATGGTTAGCATCTCCTAGAGGAGACCCTATCTCACTATAAAGATTATTGAGATTTACATTCAACATTTTTGAATTAGGATGTTTCTATTTCTTTTGTCTGATTTTATGTTTTAATTTTCTACCACTTCAGAGACTAGGCATTGAGAAGACAGACCCTACCACACTGACAGATGAAGAGATAAACAGATTTGCAAGACTGGATATTGATCCAGAAACCATAACTTGGCAAAGAGGTACCAGAGCAGGATACAACCCCCTGTGTTCTGGTTATGCTGCACACATCACAGCCTATGGGAGAATTGGAAATGTGGGTCCAGAAGCTTGTGGGTAGATATTTCCATGGTTAATGCATGACCAAGATGGTGATATTATTTGTTTTTCTTGCTTCCTCTATCAATACCTTTCCTTATTAGCTGTTATCTATCTCCCTTCATCACATTAGGAGAACGTTTTGCTGTCTGTTCAGTGTTGATTGAAATGAAGGTGGTTTCAAGGAAATTCATGCATAAACCAAAAATAACATTTTTCAAGTTTCATTTTATGCAAAAAGTTTTGGTGTCATGAAGTAGAGAAATTAAGTTTAATCACTTCTTGAATCATGTGTGCCCTTTATTTTCAGAATTCTTGCCTGACATCTGTGGTTTGATTCTTCTTGTAGCTCTTCAACTTGCTTAATCATTTTTTACCTCCTTTAAGAAGTTTTCTTATAACAAGTTAGGTAGTTTTCATGGTTTAAATACTTAGCATTTTAGTGAGTGAGTTGCCTGGCTTCAGCACCATATGTTGCTTTTCTCTATGTACAATTAGCATAGCTTAGAATTTTATTTTCTACCAACAGTGTATCCTTCTGTTTTATCACTGCAGTGAAGAAGTTTTCATCCAGTCATGTCGAATGCAGTTAAAGGCCAATTTATTGGCTGTTTTTCTGATTTTTATTGGCATGGTAACTGTTAATGGCACTGTGGCACTTTTTAAATGATACTCTTAATGTCTAGAACCACACTGGCATTCATCCCTTTGTGTGAATAGCTTTAAACAAATGGTAAATTTTATAAGGAATAAGGTAAAGATCTATTTTGAAATTTTAATAGCTCTTTTTTTTTTTTTTTTTTTTCCTTTCTTTTGGTTGTTTTGAGATAGCGTCTCACTATGTAGCCCAGGCTGTCCTCCAATTCTCAATCCTTCTGTCTCAGCATCCCAAGTTTTGGGGTTACAGGTGTGTGGTACCATGCCCAGCTATTTTTTCCTTTGTCTTGTGTCTGATTCAAGAAATTCTAATTTCTAAGAAAGTGGAGACCAAAAGAAAAAATGGGGGGGAATCACATCTATTATTATCTTATTGTTGTGCTGGGTTGGGGAGTACATTGTGGCATTTACAAAAGTTCTTACAATGTATCAGATACATCATACAGGATCACATCTATTGATCACCTAGTGTGTGTGTGTTTTACTGGGATCAAACCCATATCCTGAGCATGCTAGGCAAGTACTCAACCACTGAATTATTATCCTCAGCCCCTGGATCACCTATTTTATACAGAATAATTAGTTCCAGGAAACTAGACAGTATGTTTTTGAAAAGCAAGGGGTAGAGTGTGTGTGTGTGTGTGTGTGTGTGTGTGTGTGTGTGTGTGTAAGAGAGAGACAAGACAGTCGCTGAGTGCTATGTAAGGTACTGCTTCTGGTGTTTAAGTTGTAGTCTTTATGAAATATAATTTGGTATTTTACCAAGTGCCTTAAAAAGTGTTTTCCACTGGCTAGACACTGATTTATGCCTTTAAGCCCAGTTACTCAGGACGTAGAAATCTGGAATATTGCAGTTTGTTTAAGGGCAGCCCAGGAAAAGCGTTGCTGAGACCCCACCTCAATCAATAAGCTGGGTGTGGTTGTCCACACCTGTGATCCCAGCTATGCAGGAGCCATAGATAGGAGGATTGAGGTCCCAGGCCAGTCCCAGGCAAAAATGTGAGACCCTATCCAAAAAAAAAAAAAACTGAAGCTAAAAAGGACTGTGACTCAAGTGGTAGAGCAACTGCCTAACAAGCACAAGGCCTTGAGTTCCAAACCCCTTTCCACCACCACCACCAAGAAAAAATGCTTCTCACCAGGCTTGATGGCACATGCCTATAATCCCAGCACTCAGGAGGCTAAGGCAGGAGAGGGCAACAGCAATCAGTGCTTCACAGTGAGACCCTGTTTCAGAGAAGGTAGGGAGGGGAGGAAGGTAGGGAGGAAGAGAGGAGGAAGGGAACATTGATTCTCTTTCTTCAACCCATCTGGAGTCTGGACCTATTCTTGTGGAATCTCATGCTGATGTGGAAATTCCTCTTTCCTCTATGTGCTCATACTCCTCTTTGTACTTCACTCCTGAAATCAGATGTGTAGTTTTCTCCTCCCAGAACAGTTCAGTTCAGTCCTCAGTGGATACTGACTGGGCGTGCTGCGATTTAACCCAATTCTCAAACTGTCTGGAACAGACCCTGCAGGTTAGCGGCTGTCCTGTTTCCAACTAGTGCCAGGCCCAGGTTGTCGTCTGTGTTCCTCACTCACTCACTATAAATCGAAGGTTCCCATCATCTCCTCCTTGGATTCTATCATTTGCTGGATCCAGTACAGGACTCAGGGAAACACTTTATGGATGTTTGCTGGTTTATTATAAAAGCTGCATCTCAGGAGAGGCAGGAGGAAGTCATGCACAGAGTACATCACCCTCCCAGGTCCTCTGGCTTCACCAGCCCAGAAGCTAGTCTGATCTTGTTATTCAGTTCTCATAGATCTTAATATCTTAATCACCCTCCCTTGACCCCCTTCCAGGATTTTAGACAGGGCTAAACGTTCCAACCCTATAAATCTTTCTGGTGGCCAGACTCCTCCTGAGGCTTTCTAGAGCCCCAAATCACCTAAGTGATTCAAAGGGGCTTGTTATGAATAAAGGGCACTCCTATTACCTTAAGATTCCAAGGGCCCTAGGAGCCTTGTGCCAGGAATCCAGGACCAACATCAAATATGTTTCCTGTTTTACCATACATCAAAGATCAGAAGTATGAATATACTAAAATGTTAGCAGCAGCTAGTCCTGGGGAGTGAGAGTAGGATTGTTTAGTCGCTTAACTGGCTGATGTTTCCAGTTGGGTAGGTATTTTGTTATCAGAATGGAATGTGGTAAAGGAAAGACCAGGCCTGTTACCTGGAGTATTTCAAAAGGCATTTGCACTTGTTTAGAGTGGATGGTGCCTGTGTTTTTCAGGGTGGTGTAAGGGCAGTGAGTCACCTACAGAACAACTCAGAACTTTTGAAAAAGTGGACTGCTTTGTTTTCTTCTAATGTAGAATATGCTTCAAAATAGATTCCAGATATGTAGTTAATTGTTTAAATTCTCTAGAAGTAATAAAACTAAGCCACTCCACATTCCTTTACTATAAAAATCATTCCTGTGAATTCATGGGATGTGAATATCATTTAACTCTAGCTTTGTCATCAGTTTTGAAATCTTAAATGCTGCAGCTTCCCTTAGCTTTATGGTCCTTTCCCCCTTCCCCTACACCCAGGTGCTTTTTGTTTGTTTTGTTTGAGAAAGAGTTTCCCTATATAACCCAGGCTGACCTTGAACTTTTTTTCCTTTGGTAGTGAAAGTGATAAAGTTTATTAGGAAAGGAATACCCTTTCAGTAGACAAAAAGCCTGGCCTCGAACTTTCAATCCTTCTGCCTCAGTGTCCCAGGTGCTAAAATTACAGGTGTGCACCACCACACCAAGCTTTGTGATCTTTTTCTTAAGAATTGCTTTACTTTTTTTTTCTCCACTGTAGTGTTGGATACCAATGACAGATTCCTGAGGAAGATCACAATTGGACAGGCACCAACAGAGAAGGGGCACACACGGACGGTAACTTTTGTTTCTTCCCAAGTAATTAGTTCATTGCTGCTTCTGTCCTCCTCCACCCTCTCCCTTACAACTGATACTGCCAGGTGCTGTTCTGCCTTCTCCCTTTTAAAATGGAAGTGAGTAGGTGTGGCCTCGAGCACTTCTGACAGCTTTTGCAATAAATCCCATGTGTCACCTGTGTGTTTTTCCCCCAGCATTTTTTCCTGGAGGTGGAGAGCCCCAAGTGAATGTCCTTGTGCATAAATTGATTTGAATTGCTGCTATTTTGTGACAAATGGCACTATGTGTTTTCATTGTGAGAGCTTCTGTGTCGTCCCTTGTATTTAGGGAAGCCATAACTGCAATTCCAAGTTGCCTTCACAGCAATAAAATGAGAGCTTATTGGTCACACTAGAACATTTATCTTTAAAAATTGACTACTCAAAGTCTTGTAATAACTAATTACAAACTTTTAAGTATGGGAGGATTATTTTCACTAAGATGTTTGTGTTGTATTCTGCTACTCCGTTCTTTTAAGCTAGCTGTATAAGCCTTAGATGCCCAATGGGATGGCTTTTGCAGTTCTTGCTTTGTTTTAACACAAAGGTTCTTTTCTCTTTCCTGCCCATAGGCCCAGTTTGATATTTCTGTGGCCAGTGAAATCATGGCTGTCCTGGCTCTCACCAGTTCTCTGGAAGACATGAGAGAGAGACTAGGCAAGATGGTGGTGGCATCCAGCAAGAAAGGGGAGCCTATCAGTACTGAAGACCTGGTGAGTGCCTTGGCCTCAGTTCCATATGAATGTCCACTGTCCTAGGGCCTCTCAGTGCTTACTAAGAAAAAAAATTACATTCTACGTAAGATGTTGCATTGCACTCAGCAATTCAATCCAATTTTATTAATTTCAAGATAATTAAGAAATTTGTATATGAAATTATCACAATGAAATCCCCTCAGTATTAATATATAATATATTAACATATAATATTTTAAAAACTTTTTTAAATTTGTAGAAAGTTCTTCATAGTGGATGATAAGTGGTTTGCTCCAGTAATGGACCACAAGTTCCAGATGATTTGAATAATGCCTCCTTCCTGGGAGTATTTCCCCATGCAAGTGTATAGTAATTTGCAGAGAACACCTAGGGTTGGAGTGAGGCCTTCTGTAGCTGAGTTTGGAGTCTCCCTGACCCCTCCCCATGACACTTGGCTTTCTGCACAGAGGCCTCTTGTCATAAGGCTTGTTTTCACTACCTCCATGCTGATAATTACATTTGGCCAAGCCAGCGAGTCTTTCTAGGCTGACTTTCCACCTCTGGGTTCATTTCTGAACTGTTTACAATGGTAATATGAGGCTTGGATTGAGAATTCTTATAGATTAATTTTTTTAAGCCTGTTTATGTTGAAACAATGCCAAAATAGTTGGCCTGTGGTAGTGATATGGCTGATGAATTTAGAAAACATTAAATTTAGAGGCTCATTAATAATGAATATAAATGAGAACCATTGCTTTATCTTTGTCACTAATTTGTTCAGCTGTGATTGGATGGCTTAAAAGAGGGGCCCGATACTTAAGAGTTGGAATATTTTAGTTTCAGTTAGAAAACATGTGTTGAATTTGATTTATACCCATTTCTGCCCAGATATCAAAACTACAAATAGCTCATTGCTCTGGAACTTGCACGCTGTGCTCTGCACTGGTCTAAGAGGATTTCCACATAAGTCAGCAACAGGGCTTGATTGGGATACTTGTTTCCAAGAGTTACATGCTTTTTCAGAAACCACAAGTGAATGTCATTTTCATTCTGCTTGTTTTCACTGCTTAGAATAACCTGTAGCTTCCCAGTATATATGGGTGGGAGTAAATGATCTAGTTCAGATGAAAGTACTGATTGGTGAAAGATCACTAAAAAGAGAAGACCTAGAATATGGGAAATTGGTTTCAGTTGGTTTGTGTTTGCTGGTACAAGTTGATGCTTCATGTTTTTATTTTGTAGGGTGTGTACAAGTTGATGCTTCATGTTTTTATTTTGTAGGGTGTGAGTGGGGCACTCACAGTGCTGATGAAGGATGCGATCAAGCCCAATCTCATGCAGACACTAGAGGTGAGCAGAGGAGCTCCTGGGTTCCTGAACTGGTTTTCGACATTCACAGCACAGGGTTGTAAAACACACTTTGCTTTAGCAATCAGAGTCCTGTTCTGTGCTCATCTCTTTCTTCTCATTGTTTCTTATAGTTATGACTGAGACCATACCAAAATATAAAAGAGGTGGCTTTGAGAATGTGGGTGTGGCTTAGTGGTAGAGCATTTGCCTAGCATACACAAGGCCCTGGATTCAATCATCAGCACTGCCAAAATAAATGGCTATGTATTTTCCCTCTGGGAAATCTTTCAAGTTGGAAATCCTATAGCATTGGCTATGTAACCCTTTTTGAAGCAGAGTAAACAGCTTCACTCATGTCCTGGTTTTCACAGGGCACTCCAGTGTTTGTTCATGCTGGCCCCTTTGCCAACATTGCACATGGGAATTCATCCATCATTGCAGACCGGGTTGCACTCAAGCTTGTTGGCCCGGAAGGCTTTGTAGGTGAGTATTTTTTCGACTTCAGTGAATAGACTGTAGTTTTCTTTTAACCTCAAGGGAGTTGGAATGGGATTTTTTTTTTTTAAACAATTGCTTTTCTTCCTTACAGTGACTGAAGCAGGATTCGGTGCAGATATTGGAATGGAAAAGTTCTTTAACATCAAATGCCGTTATTCTGGACTCCGTCCTCACGTTGTGGTGCTTGTTGCCACTGTCAGGGCTCTGAAGATGCATGGGGGTGGCCCCACGGTGAGGATCCAGGGTTGTAAGAGTCTCATTCATTATCAGGAATGTTCTGAAGGCTGGAAGGAAGTTAGATGATTTGTGCCCAGGTCTGCATTAAACTGCTCTTATCCTCGTGATGAATAGGGTACCAGAAGCAAGGCATGGTCAGACAACTCATGTGCTGGCTGCTTCATCCCCAAGATGCATATCAGCTCTCAGCATTTGAAGAGGACCCAAACTGGCTTCATGGGCTGCCTTTCTGAGGAAAACATCTGACAATAGCTATATCCCTCTAAGGACTTGTGGTTGGCTCTCCTCTCAGAAAACTCCTTCATATCAGCCTGTTCTCTATAAATCTGACTCCTGTTTTCCTTCTAAACACTGGCAGTAAGCCAACCAAACCTTTGGGCTGAGACATAAGTCAGCTCCTGAGTAGTTCACTCTAGACCAGACCAGCCAGCAGTGGAAGGGGGGATGAGGCAGATGAAAGAGGATAGCAGAACTGCTCATGATGCTGGGTAACAGAGTAGAGAGGGAACTAGCTAGTTGTTAGCTTCAACCTGAACTCTATGTTTTCTTGAATTCATATTGCTTAGAATTTTTTTTTTCTTTCTGGTAGTATTTGTGTGTGAACTCAGGACTTCACACGCAGGCTAGGCAGGTAGAAATTGTCCTATGAGGACGTACCCTAGCCTACCTCTTAAGCCCTGGGTCCTGTGTGTCCCAAGGTAGCACAGGCATTCCTTACCTCACAAACATTGAACTTCCTTTCTGACCTCATGATCTGACCGGTAATGCTGGGCACCTCCCCCAATCTTCACTGAGAGGGCTTTGCATACACAGCTCTGCCAAAGAGCTAGACTTGCTGATGACATCACCTTGCAGAAGGAAAGCTACATGTAAGGTCCCTGCTCCCTGCCTGGCCATACATGGCCCTAGGATTCTAGGGTTATAGCACCATAGTCTCTGAGGAATGGGAGAAGACCAAGCTGGAGGCTTCTTAATTACCATTTATTGCCCACAGTAAGTCCATGTGTCAGCCCCTTGACCCCCTTGCTCATCCCTGTGGATTCGTCAGAGCTGAGCCACCACCCAGATCAGGACCAAGGGCTTGCTGTATGACAGAGGAAGAAAGTCCTTCTCTTGTTTTCCCTCTCCTTTGTATTGTTCCTGTGCTGTAGTTCTGCTCCCCCTGGCCTGAGTTGGCTCTATGGACCAGCTCATGAAACTGAGACAGGCAGGGCTCCTCCACAGACATTCCAGGGTGACCTTTGCAGAGCTGACAGCTGTGTTTTCCCCACACTCACCTCTACTTTCACCCACTGCTGTGTTCCTCACTCATTGTGTCACTGTCCTGCCTGAAACACATTCCTTTCCACCTCTGCTTTCAGATCAGTCATTTCTCACTTCCTTAATTCAGTTCATAAGGCCTCTACTCTGCTCAGAGTAGCCCTTCTGTGTGCTATGGCTGGTCCCGTACTATAAGTGCTTAAGGCAGGAAACAACTGTATATTGTTATATATCCATCCATCCATCCATATGTCCCCCTACATGCAGCCTCTTGCCTGTAACACACGACAACACCATTTTAAGCTAGAATCTAACAGTAAGTAGGAAATGCACCTGACTTTGTTTCCTTTCCTTGCAGGTCACTGCTGGACTGCCTCTTCCCAAGGCTTACACAGAGGAGGTAACTTCAATTATTTCTTAATTACTTGTCCTAGAAAGCACCACACCCCAATGCAGCATTTCACATCTGACCAATTGAGGAAACAAAGAGACTGACCCAAAGTTGTTTCTGCCATGTGCTGAAGATTGTATTAAATGAGTAGCAGTAAGTTGAATTGTCCCACATAGACAATCACTGCCTTAGACCAGTGGCTGGTTCTCAGTGGGGGCAGTTTTACTCCCATTGTACATTTGGCCACATCTAGTCTTTTATGTTTTTTTTTTTTTTGAGACAGGGACTCACTATATAGCCCAGGCTGACCTTGAACTTGAGATCCTCCTGCCTTAACCTCTTGAGTGCTGGAATTTAAGGTGTGTACCACCACACCTGGAATAGAGATATTTTTATTGTCACAGCTGGGGATGGGGAGTGTTACTGTTAAACATCTTCCAATGTGCAGGACAGCCCCCACAATAAAGAGTTATCCAGCTCAGAATGTTAATAGTACTGAGGTTGAAAAAATCCTGCCCTAACCTAATGGAAGTTTTCTTCATTGTCTTCCCTGCTTTGGCTGAATGAGCCCCAAATGCTATTCAAATCAGAATTAAGGAAGGACTTTGAAAAATAACTCTTTCCTCTGCAGACTCAAACCCATATTAAAATGCCAAGATACCAGTTGTTTTGTTCTTCCATAAGCTAATTTGGTTTATTGCATCAAGCAAAAGCCCAGAGACCAGTTGTGAGCTCATATCTTTTCATACTGACGTTGTGAACCATCAGAGAGCACCCCTAGAGCCAGTTTGGTGGTTACGGAACAAGGAGGGCCATGGATAAGATGTAGGGTCAGTTGTCACCGTTAATTCAATTTTTCTGCCTTTTTGGAAGCTTTTACATTGTCAAGCAATACAGGGTCACAAATAAAGTATGTCTGAATCGACTAGAAAAAAAAATTGTTGGTTCCTTGAGTCTGCCTGTTTTTTGCATTATGATTTGCCTTTTATGGTCATCTGCCTGATTCACGCGTAGGAGGGGAATTCACAGTTCTGGCCCTTCTGCCACCCCACAGCCTTTCCTGTATCTAATTACAGTGACTGCCCCAAACAAGCCCAGCTGGTGTCTTCATTTAAGAAATTCTACTTATTTAAACTGTTCTCAGTCTTACATATTAATTGGTTTTCATGTGAGTAGAGGTAAACACTTAGCAGTGCTCTTTAGAGTGTCAGATTAATCCTAATCTCAGTTCAAAATTAAAGGGAAATGAAAGCATAAACCAAATTTATAAAATCCTAGCTGTTTTCCATCTTTAACATACCAAGTTTTTCTGCTTTTTTTAGGGTTCCAAAAGCTAAGGACTAAATACTGCTAGGTTTTGCTCATAATCCAATATATGTTTTTATAGAAAACAATTATATTTTTATTTTTAATGCACTTAATTTGGGGATTTTTTTTACCCCCAATGGCAAGAACCAAACTCGGGGTCTCATGGATGCTAGGCAAGTGCTCTACTTCTAATCTACATTCCCAGTTCCTTATGTCTTTAATATAGTGATTTCTTTAAAAAAAAAAATCAAACATAAGAATATACCGTGATTGGAATTCCTTTAACAGTTTAGTGCATATTTCTCAACATTTACAATTTTTTCTTGGATTACACATGTGTTTTGTTTTCCCAACAAGAATGAATTAAGCGCTCCATAGTTTTACAACTTTAGTACATCATGGACAGGCTCCATGTTAACATAGATCGGTGTCCCTTTTCATAACATCTTCAAGATGAATCCTCACTGAGTGTATATGTATAGTATATGGTTCTTTTTTGTGTATGAGAGAGATGAGGCCAGTGTCAAATTGAATGGAACCAAGTCCTGCCTCAGCCTCTTAAGTACTTGGGACTACACATATAGATAATATTGTTATTTCTTTTTTTTTTTTTTTCTTGAGACAGGGTCTTACTGTGTAGTCTTGGCTGGCTTTAAACCTGTGTTCCTTTTGCCTCAACCTCCCCAATGCTGGGAGTATGGTGTATACCACCACACTGGCTTACTATTTATTTCTTAAAGATGACATTTGTATTATCTGTTAGCCCTAGGGAAGAATCATAGTTAAGTTCATTAAAGTCTTTTAAAGCATCATTGATTTCTTCATGTCCTTGGGCAGTATTTATGACAGCTGAATAATGAGTAAGTCCGTGTGTGCTAGACTTAGTCTTCTGATGGAAGAAATGGTTTATACTGTACTGAAAAGAGTCTGTACCATTGTACCATTGGTGCATTAAATCTATAAACATAAAGGTTGTAAAGTATAGTTTAGATAGGGGAAATTAATCCCTTCCAAACAGCAAAGAAGCTATTAAGATGTGGCATAACAATGTCAAATACCCCAGTTGGGGTGATTTCAAGATGGCGGAATACAGCACAGCTCCACTCTGCTGTAGGCTGGAGTTATAGCTCTTTGCTCCACAGTGTCCACCACTGAAGTATAAGAAATGTGTTATTATTTTTCTTTTGTTGACTTGCCTCCTTATCCTGACAGCAAATGTCTATTGGTTCAAGGACACAGTTTCCCTTTTAAGAAGAAACTGTGACTGCTTTCACATCTCTCTCTCTGAACCCACAGACCTTTCACTGTTGTTTTACAGAACCTGGAGCTGGTTGAAAAAGGCTTCAATAACTTGAGGAAACAAATAGAAAATGCCAGAATGTTTGGAGTTCCTGTAGTGGTGGCCATAAATGCATTCAAGTAAGTGCAGAGTATAACAGAAAAGGGGAAATGTGGAAAATGGTCAGAATACATTTCCTGTAGCTGATTGTGAAGTGCTGCTTTTAGCTTCATTTTGCTCTTCAATTATCACTGGTGGTTATGATATGTGATATGTTAGGTACCATGTGTATCATAGGAAAGTCACCGCCTCTCTCACTGAGGATCCAGTCCAGAAGTCTGATTTGGCTCCTGTGGGCCATCTTTTCCACTGAGTGAAATGTATAACATACAAGCTTGAAGTAAAATGTTCTTTTTGGTCATTTGGAGGCCTTTTATGCTGACATAAAGATCATACCCTACAGTGTTGCATTATTTTACTGATTTGGAGGAATGTTGTCTTGACAGAGTTGAATGTTATGAGTTGAAAGTGTCCATGTAAGAACTTGTGTGGGCTGTTTGGCATTGTGGTACTGTTGTGGGTTTTGCTATAATGGCCTCACCACAGTGGAATTGGATGCAAACATTTTTAAAGCTAGTATTTATTTTCCAATGGAGTACTGGGAATGTTCCAAGTACATGTATTTACCATCTAAACCTCATAATATTCTAGTGAAATAAATGCTATGATTATTTCTATTTTGCTCAGGTGGAAATTGAGGTGCATAAAGAATAAGGAACTGATCAAAAGTCACCCAAGGTAGTTAGTGGAGCTGAGATTCAAACCAGGCAGTATTCATTGTGTCCACTTATCACTGGGTCATTCACAGGGGTTTTAGTGGTGTTCAGAGGACTTATTCTGTCCTCTCCAGCCATCTTTCATTCTTTAATCTGAATTACTGCCTTTACAGGACAGACACAGAGGCTGAACTGGACCTCATCGGCCATCTTGCCAGAGAACATGGAGCTTTTGATGCTGTCAAGTGCACTCACTGGGCGGAAGGGGGCAAGGGTGCCTCAGCCCTGGCCCGGGCTGTTCAGAGAGCAGCACAGGCACCCAGCAACTTCCAGCTCCTCTATGACCTTGAGGTGGGTTACTTGTCAAATGCAGACAACACAAAATAGAGAAGGTACAATGAGGTTTCTGTGTGCCTACCTTGGTGCAGAGCCCTGTGTTTAGCAGCTTCAACCTTGTGGTTTGATCCCCATATGCTATAGGATTGCAACCTGGACTTTCAGCTTTAGGCATCTTGTCTTACAAATGCAGGTTGCTGCTGCCAAGCAAGAATACCTGGGGAGGTTGGCTCACATCCTAACTTTGACAAGGCTCATAAGCAAGTCCCTTGTCTGGGAAAAGAGAGAATTACATATGGAACCAAGTGTGTAATTCGCTGTGGCCTTTCACCTGAGACACCATCCATATTGTAGCAAATTGACAAGGGACTACATCAAGCTCAGGAAAATCTTCTCAGTAACAGGGAAAGAAGTGTGCTCCCAAGTTCATTTCCTAGTACTGTGCTGCCTTAAGTTCAGATAGACCATCAGGTATAAACCACAGCACCTTGCCAGACCTCATCATTTTCCCATCACTAAGTACATTACATATGGCCTCAGCAAAAGCAGTGTTTTATTCTATGCTACAGTAAAATTAGCTCAGAGAAAGGTTAGTGTGCCCTTAGTTCTCTGTCCCATGTATTTCAGCATGTGACTAGAGGATCAAATTTTAAGTAGTCTGGCTACAACAATTGGAAATTTTGTTAGGATGTACATTATAGTTAATTCTGTACTCTCTAGGTGAGTTTTTGGCTTAGTTTTTTTTTTTTTTTTTTTTGGCAGTACAGGGGGATGAACTCAGGGCAACTTGCTAGACAGGTATTCTACCACTTGAGCCACTCTGCCAGCCCTTTTTTGTGTTGGTTATTTTTTAAATAGTTTTGCTGGGCACCAGTGGTTCATGCCTGTAATCCTAGCTACTCAGGAGGCAGACATTAGGAGGATTGAGGTTTGAAGCCAGCCCAGGCAAATAGTTCAAGAGACCCTATCTTGAAAATACCCATCACAAAAAGGGCTGGCAGAGTGGCTCAAGGTGAGGGCCCTGAATTCATGCCCCAGTACCACAAAAAAAAAAGAGTCTTGCTTTATGATTAAGCCAGGGTGGACCACAATCCTATTTTTGCTTCCCTGTGTAGCTGGGATGACAGGCGTACATCATCATGCCCAGCTTTCATTGGTTGAGGTGGGATCTCCCAAACTTCTTACCCAGGCTGGCCTTGAACCACAATCCTCCTGATCTCTGCTTCTTGTGGATGACAGGCTTGAGTCATTATGCCTGACTTGGTGTGGTTTACAAAAGATAATTATAGACTTTGGGAAATAGTCATAAAAACATGGAAAAACTACTACTCTTGAATTTTAACATTCACTTTTTTCCTTTATTGTTTGCAGAGAGTTAATTAGTATTTCTCTATTGACACTGACATTTTGCTATTATGCTTTGGTTTTATAGACAGGTTTTAAAATCTATGTAACCAATCATCTTTCTAGAAAATATAAACAGAAATTTGTCCACAAATACAAGCCACTTTAAAAAAAAATACAAAGCACTTACAGGCAAACTTCTCCAAGTCCCCATCTACAGTTAGGAAGCCCAAACCTTGAAGGCCAGTAGGAGACCTGTAAAAGTAGGGCAGCAAGGTCTCTGTAGTTCATTTCTACTTGAAGCTTTTCTCTTTTTTGACAAACAGGATTCTTTTACTTTTTGTCTTACTTGATATCTGTTAATCATAAATCACCCTTCAACCAAATTGCTTTTGCTTCGGAAGCTGTATATACTTGGCATTCAGTAAACTCCAGTGATAAGATGCAGGTGAAAGGATTTGGCTGTATATTTGTAAAGCCATTGTGGAGAACTCTCTTTAACTATGTCCATTATCTAAGCACCTTCATAAATGATCATTATTTAGTTAAAAACAGCATTTTACTTTTTATAGGTAGGTTATTGCTCCTTTCAAAAACAGACCTTGTCCAGTATATTCTTTTAGCCTTAGTTGCTAGGAGTAGAGCCAGATACAGTGAGTAATTTCAGTACAGTATTTTTATATGTGTGTTGTGTATATATCTCTCTTGAGATAAATAGGTACATAGTAACTATAGATACAAACTCTAATCTCACCAAAAAACAGAAAACATCTCTGGCCCTTTAGGGGCCAACTCTCATAGAATGTGGCTCTGTCCTGATCCAGCATCCTCTTGCATGTCCAGTCATGGTCTCTCTTTCCTCTGCATAGCTCCCAGTTGAGGATAAAATCAGGATCATTGCGCAGAAGATCTATGGCGCAGATGACGTTGAATTGCTTCCCGAAGCTCAGCACAAAGCTGAAGTCTACACAAAGCAGGTAGGTGTTTGGTTAGTTTGTTCTTTCATCTCTTCACAAAGCAGGCCTGGAGTCAGAACCCCTGAGATCTCTCAGCCCTGTGAGCACCCACTGTTTTACGTCTCTGGGCAGCAGCCTTTTCTCTGAAATACTGAGTTTGGAGTAGGTGGTCCAGTCCCAAATTCTTTATTTACCCATAGGTGGTTTATGAGTTAGGTAGAAAAACCATTAGGAAACCTGGAATATCTTACTAAAATATTGAGAACCTCTCCAGTTTTATTCTCAGGCCTACTCTGTTATTTTTATTGGTTACACAGATGGAAATAAAATACTCACTTGTGAAATATAGTTGTAAGTACTTAACCTTCCTCAGATACTCTTTTTTTTTTGGTCTGTAATAACTAAGCTGGACAATAGTAAGGTAGAAATGGATATAAAGGGAGTTAGCTATTTCACATAAATTAAGGAACCTTGGAACCTCATAATCACACTATCCACATGTTCTTTATTGCATTGTCAGATTTTCATTTGTCCTACCCGTTTGCTTTTCTCCTCAGGGCTTTGGGAATCTACCCATCTGCATGGCCAAAACACACTTGTCTTTGTCTCACAACCCAGAGCAGAAAGGGGTGCCTACGGGCTTCGTTCTGCCCATTCGTGACATCCGTGCCAGTGTCGGTGCTGGCTTTCTGTACCCTTTAATAGGGACGGTAAGTGAGGGCTGCAGGAGAGGAGCATGCTCATGATGCATCTCATCTGAAGTGTGTTGCTAAAGCGTCAAGCAGTTGCCAAAAGCTGGAGTTAGGCCTGGTATGATTAATTTTTACTATGAAACATATTAGTTTCAATTCAAGTGTGATGCCGTGACTACTTCTACTGAATTAAAAATTCTTTCCCAGTGGCAGTTGCCCTTGATAAGTCAAGATAGGCATAATCAACAGACTAGGTTAGCGCCAATACATATTTTTCACTCTGTATCCATGGGTTCTGCATTCACCTACTCATTCGTGTGGGTTGAAAATATTAGGGCAGGGCTGGTGGAGTGGCTTAAGTGGTAGAGTGCCTGCCTAGGAAATGAAAGGCCTTGAGTTCAAACACTAGTACCACCAAAAAAAAATATATATATATATATATATATATATCAGTGTGTATGTTACACTTGAGTATATACAGTTTTTCTTACTATTATTCCCAGAATAATACAACTTTTCACATAGCATTTACAATATAGTGGGGAAATCTAGAGATGATTTAAAATATGCAGGAAGATGTGCCTAGGTTTATACAAACATTACACCATCTTTAATAGGGACATGAATATCTGCAGTTTTTGGAATCCATGGGGTTACAGAAACCAACCACTGATGATGGAGGGACAGCTATAATCACAATTAATGTTTATTGAGCACCTTACGCAGATGAACTCCATCCTTCCAGCAGCCCTAGGAGCTAAGGACAGAGGCTGTACATATTCATGGTCTTACTGCAGGCTTAGAGCTTATGTCCAAAATTCAGGGAGTTCACTGTTTTTGAGTAGGAATTCGTCCTTAAAATGCCAATGAACCATGCATACATGAAAAGTGAGTTTGCTTCTGTATGCTTTGACGTGAATGAGTTATCTAGTGCTTTCTTATCTTACAGATGTTGTGCACATTACTGGAGGAAGTTGCCAATAGGGAAGCAGAGGGATGCTTTAGGATGAAATTATTGTCTGGACTAACACCCTTAGGATAGCATGGATCTTGTGCCCAATATCCTATATCTACAGATTGTGCTTAAATGTGGTACGGGATGCAAGTATTCAACTGAGCCATCACAATGAAACAGAAGCCAATAGATCTCCTTTTGCAGATATGCCAGTACAGTTAAGAAAGCGGCAGGGTGCATTGTGTAGTAGACAGTGCATGCATTAGAGCCGAATTCATTTTTTTACCTCTGCTGGCTTTGTGGCCTTGGGCAGATTGTGAAAAGTGTGAGCCCTGCCACCCTCAGCTTGCAGCATGAAGTGACATCATCATGGAACGGTGGCCTAAGCCAGGTGCTTGCACACAGGTGCCCTTCCACCACTGTAAGGAGCAGATGCTTAGCCTTGTTGTGATGTTCATCAGTCTAGGATTTGTAGAAATTCCCTTTTGGTGGGAATGCTAAATCATCTACCATCACGTTGAACACTGAAAAATATGTGCTCTTCTGTCTGCAGCAGTTGTTAGCAGCTGCCAGCTGAAAGAGTGGATACTGCTGTCTGCATTGTCACTTTCCGCGCTCCTGGGCAGAAGGTGACTGTGGAGGTGATAGCCAGAAGTGTCCAGGCCAATGAGCATCCACCTGTGGTTCAGAGACACAGCCTGCCCAGTATGACTTTCCCTCCAGATATAAAGTACATTTCAGAGGCTTCCAACTTTAACTTGGACTGAGACATTTCCATATATAACCAACTGGCTTAGTTGTTCTTAATAATTCTAACACCTCCTGCTTGCTGTTGGTGCCTCAGCAGGGCAGTAATTCAAAGTGTGGTGGGTTTTTTTTCAGAATTTATATCTAGGTTCATATGTGTATATACACATAACCAACTTCTTTTGCCTCTTCTTTCCTTCCTCCCTCCCTTTTTTGTAATGATCAGTGACCAATGCTGGGGGTGGGGTGGGATCCTCTTTTGGAAAGAATACAAATACTGAAAATTCTAGGCGTTGCTGTTTTGGGAACTGTCCTTAAGAGTTTTCCGCCATGCACAGGCATGTCTACATCAACAGGCACGTGTCCTTTGTCGTTATAGTGCCATCTGCTAGGTTTTTCTGCTAAGTCTGAAAACTAGTTCTTTCCCCTGTGTGTCCCCACACCCAGCATTCCTTATTTCTTCTAGAATACAGCAGTATAACTCAGTTGTCAAGATCCCTATAGCATGTTTTGGGGGTATTAATTGGTGTTCAGATGTAATAATTAGGTTTTCTCAAGTTTCATTTTGTGTTACTCATCCTTTTTTACACATTTCTATAGTTCAGGATTAGAAGTTCAGCCTAAGCTATCTTCCTCTCTGGGTCTGGAACATGTGTATATTCATTATGCAGGGAATTGTTACCAATAAAAATATACCAAGCTTTTCACTTACAGGCCATACAAATTGCATGTAAGCAAAGCCAAGATATTTGACAAAGCCAAGTCTTAAGAAAAGAAACCAGTGCAAATATAGTTCATAAGCTCTAAAGTAAGAATAGCAATTGTAAAAACAATCCAGATTATATACAGCAATGTCTTGGCCCAAGTTAAAGAATGTGAATTTGTAATGCCATGTTGCTGAAGCAAAAATCACATGGGTGTGTATGCAAGACTCGTTGAAGCAAAGTTTGAACAGACACACCAGTCCTTCTCCTGTGGTCTTGTGAAACTTGAGCTAATGAGGTGGGTAACTATTCATCAGCCTCCCCTGCACCTGCCACTGCAGGATAGATATGGAACCTACACCTCCTGCCACTTTTATTAGAAATGTCCATGTAGAAGGCAATTGTGTGACTGGCATTTGGTCTTCAGAAGGACATGAGGGTTTCTCTTTGAGTTTATAACAGGATCAGTAGCTGAATCTATAATATGTAACAAGAAGATTATTCACTTTATGGACAACTAACTATAAAATGATGTTCTGTCTTTGTCCCTTGGGCACAAGGTACAAAGAGGAATGTGGAAGAAAAGATCACTTTAAGATATTCTTTAATGATATTTTACATCCTAGATGAGCACAATGCCTGGACTCCCTACCCGGCCCTGCTTTTATGATATTGATTTGGATCCTAAAACGGAACAGGTGAATGGACTGTTTTAAACAGGTAAGTTGTTACTGGATAATAAATTTGTTTTTTTCCTTCTGTGGCTTATTTGTAAATTATAGGGCTTAAACTGAATCTATAAAAATTTCAAATTCTAATACTTTCAAAGCATTTTCTTTTAGATTTCATTGGGCGGGGTGGGGGGGTCAGTAATGAGACTTGGCATTAACCAAAGAATTAAATGCTTATATTTCAGTATGTCTTTCAATACAGCTGAGAAGAAGAGTGGGCTTGTTGTAGGTTGGCAGCACAAGGCAGAGAGCTGCCATCTAATTATTGTGGAGGGCCTGCAGAGGAGGTTAGGCTCCCTCTGCTGGAGTCCCAGGAGTCTTGATGACACATTAGAGCAGGAACAGCCTGAAGTCACACAGACTCTAAAGGGACAGAAGGCAAGAGTTGGGCTGGGGGTGTAGCTCAGTGGTAGGGCTAGGGCTTAGTACATGTGGGGCCCTGGATTCAATCCCCAGCAACACACACTCACACACATACCCCATGAAGGCAAAAGTTGAGTAAATGTCCCAGAAGAAAAGAAGTGGCTCACCTGTGAAAACATGAGAAGTGAACTGAATGTCTTCTTATCAGCAATAAGAAGCTTTTGGCTAGTTGTGTGCCGGTGGCTCACGCCTGTCATCCTAACTACTCAGGAGGCAGAGATCAGGAGGAGTGCAGTTCGAAGCCAGCCCGGGCAAATAGTTCACAAAATCCTATCTTGAAAATATCCAACACAAAACAGGGATGGTGGAGTGCTCAAGTGACAGAGTGCTTGATGCTTGTGCTAGCAAGCATGAAGACAAGTTCAATCCCCAGTACCGCCGAAAAAAAAGAAGAAAAAAGGAGCTTTTGACTGGAGGAATGTAGGGAAGAGGTCACTTTCAAACCATGTTTATACTTGGCCACATATGCCTGGATGTTTTCAGATGTGTAAAGGTTTGCCGCCTTCACTTCTCCTAGGAAGTTATTTAGCAATGAACTCCAGCAAAAAAAGGGATTAAATCAAGAAAAAGAAAGACTTGAGTTTTGAGAAATGGAATCCTGGTTTGGACAATGATGAAGGGGACTTCTGATCACTGTGCAAATGACCTAGACTTACAAACCCGATGTGCAACAAGAGGAGAGAGGGCTTGAGAAAGACTAGAAGGAACTAGAGAAGACAAGACTACCAAAGCACATTACAAAACAAGAGATCATGCATGGTTTGCAAAAGTAAGCATCCAAATGACAGCAAAGTGATAGTGATCGTACTGGCTATAGTGGGAAAGGTTAACATGACTTTGAGCTTGACTGTAGGGGAACACTTGGAGAGGGCAATAGTGACATTAGAAATGTAGTCCCTGCTCACTGCTTGGTCTGGTCTTTAAGAGTAGTCATATTGCCATCACCTAAGTACTGTGTGTTATTTTCAAGTCCATTTATGGATGACCCCAGAAGACTCGATGGTGGGAAGGATGTAAACGTTAGCATCTCTGGGGAACGGTGTGGTATGGAAGAGAAGAGGCAACATTTCAGTGCTTTATTTCTTTGCTTTTCTTTTCAGATCACCCATCTTCAAGAAGCTACTTTGCAAGTTTGGCCAATGTCAGTCAGGCCTACTGAGTTAGGAAGTGTGGAGACATGGCAAGAAGTCAGCTCCAGCCCTGAAGATCTTCTGAAATAAATAGTGGGGGTTTTCCCAAAAGCCTTTCTATATCCTTAATTTTCATCATCATGTATAAATTAACATAAATCATGCACATGTCTGTTTACCTTAGTGAGGATCCACAGAATAAAAGGAATAATTTTGCTATCTTGGTGTCAAAATATAAACCATAGTGTTAATAGACTGCTGCAATATTGCTTCTATCCTGTGAGTGCATTTATTGGGCAGCCGCTTGGGCTGAAGAAGCAAGTTGCAGTGTGTACTTTGTTTGTAGGGGGACATGTATGCGTGCTCGTGTATCTCTGTGAGGACACATAATTCAGGAGACCTCCTGAGAAGGTCAGATAGAAGCAGAGTATGGAGGAAGACTTGCCTTTTTACTTTATACCTTTCTCTGTTCATCTCCCTTCTTCTTTGGGAAGTATTGCTTATATCGGTTTTTGATCTAAACTTCCTTTGAATTCTCATTTCTGTCATAGAATTGGCATTGTTTATTTTTAAAGTCCTCAAGAAGGATGGTGGAATCACTAGCGTTGGATCCTGCCAGAGAGTACTGCATCCCCACCGGAACCAGTGCTGCCCATTGCTGATATGGGCAATGCCTTTTCTCCAGGCATTCTTGGGTTTATTATGTTTAATCCCCTGGGTCCACATCAGAGATGTAATAGTTTTAGGAAGCAATTGACAGAGGGGTCATGAGCACAGAACCCAGCTTTGCTCCTTAATGCCTCACTTAGCTGTCTGCACCCAAACCACATCCACACCACGGGCACTTGTCAGTGCCTTCCCATGAGGGTGCTTGTTGAAGCAAACAAATCACATCAGACTTTGTACAGTGATGAAAGTTTAACAGTGTTGTCCCTGATCCAAAGCATGTTTTTGGACCATTTGCACAGAGTCCATTGTTTTTGATACACTTTTTATATATTCTATAAAACTTCACCTGAAATGGGACTTGCTGGGAATTCAGTTTGTAAACAAGGGAAAGAAGCAGTCTTGTTAGCCATGGTGACTTAAAGAACATCTTAAAGGATGTACGGCCAAAACTGTGGGGAGTTAAATCCTCAGTACTGTTAGGAGTAGTGCACACAATAGGAGGAGAGGATAAGTGGAGATTTATAAAGAAAGCCTTAATATGATAATAAATGACCCAAACCATTCTTATCTGTTGCTTGGAATGAGTGGTCCATCACTGATGCAGTTTTCCTAAGGAGAGGTAACGTGCTTCAGTAAAAACTCACATGTGCAACTTGCTTTTTCCACTTAGCAATAGATCTTACTCCATTAGCACTAGGAGATCCATCTTGTTTCTTATAGCTGTGTAGTATGTCAGCAATCCTTTCTCCTACTAGTGGGCACTTACAATTGTTTCATGGTTTTTACTGTTAAAAATAATGTAGCAGGAGTGCTGAGGATGTAACATAGCAGTACGGTGACTGCCTAGCATATGTACCCATGGATAAGTAAATAAAAATGTAGCAGTAAATGGTGGTCAGAAATACTGAAAATTCTCATGTGTCTTTGTAACTTGTGTGAAAGTGTCTATAGGATAAATTCCTAGTGGGGAAGTTGCTCAGAGAGTGACCTCCAGCTTCAAAACAGGAGCTGACCTTTGGTTGGAAATGCATAGAGATGAATTGTAATAGAACAGATCTTCAAATGAAGTTTCTATCCCCATTTTACAGAACGGCAGACTGCACGGTTGCACTGCCATGTCTGCCAAATTAATTTGTAAGGTCCTCTGATTCCAAAGCCTGTGCGAGCCCTTCCTGCTCATTTCACATGCCTCCAGGAGGAAGGGATGATAAAGGTGTAAGAAGCAGGGGGAAGAACTAAAGAGGTCTGGGAGGCTTGTGAGCCACCCTGGTGGCAGGGATTTTGTGCAATTTTTTTTTTCTTTTTTTTGGGCAGTACTTGGGTTTGAACTCAGAGCTTCGTGCTTGCTAGGCAGGCACTCTATCACTTGAGCCACGCCCCCAGCCCTTGTGCAATTGATTCTTCAATCTTTGCTAAAGAAGAGGTGTCACAAGCACAAGCTTACAGGTGCCATTTCAACAATGAAAGAACATATAAACCGCAGAATAACTGCAGGTCCAGTGAAGACTTACAGAAGCATTAGTGCCTGCGTGCCCATTAGTGGGTCATCAGAGTTAGTCTGGTGCCTTTACCTTGGGACTAGGAGTCCTTCTAGATCCTGGTTCCCCTGTACCCATTCTTATCCTTCTCTGGGCTGTTAATGCCTTCCCTCCCCTTATTAGTGATTTTGATGAACAGAACGTGCCTTGTCTGAGGAGAGGCTATTGCTGTGCATTGAAAAGGTACATACATTGTCAGTTCAGAATGACAGCAGCATTTATGTGCTGCATGTAAAACCTTGCCACAGAATGACTGTTAGGTTTGTGCTGGCCCCTACACTCCTCATGGTGCCCACCAACAGACCAGACCTCCAAGGAACTAGAGCCACAGTACCGGGACGGGTTGGAAAGCTTAGTTTTGAAATACAAGAATTGTTAACAAGGAGATACAAGCCATTTTTGATAGCTGCAAGCCTGGACTGCGTGGATAGGGACTAGAATGGGAGAAATGGTATGATCAGTTCAGTGCTGTATAGCTAGATCTGTAAGGTGTTTTATTGGCATGCTGTATCTGGTGACATTAACAAGATAAGATGTAAGGGTAATTTCTCATCGGGCTGGAGACAGTCTTAGCCCACTTTCCTGTTATATAATGCAAACCTGTAGTAGACAATGATACCAGTAACAGCTTCAACAGTCAACTGTCAAGTGTGTTTAGGGATGACAGGTTTCTTTCGTGCATGAATACATGCATGAAATACTTTTCAAAAACATCTGGTGTCTAATAGTCATATCCTAAAGAAAAAAAACTGCAGAATTTTATTTATAATACTTCATTCTGTTTGTGCATGCAAGTGTGGGGTGGAGGTCAGGGACTAGTTATTTGTAACATACTTAAAAGAAATCCATCTTACTTTGCCTTTCAAACACAAGATGAATCCACCTCTTACCTCAAAGTACCTTTCAGCACCCTTTGACTACTTTTTTTTTTAAGAAAAGAATTAAGATCTATAAGGTGGTGGTTTTGTTTTATGGGGTTTTTTTTGGGATTGGGCCTTGCCATGTAACACAGGTTGGCTTTGAACTCGAGCTCCATCTGCCTTAGCCTTAGCAGGAGTGATGGAATTATAGGTGCTGCCGTCACTCCCAGCGCTCGGTGTTTTGGGGGTTTTTTGTTTGTTTTTGGTGGGACTGGGATTTGAACTCACTTCACACTTGCAAAGCAGGCACTCTACTGCTTGAGCTACATCTTCCAGTCCATTTTATTCTGGTTATTTTAGAGACTGTGTCTCTCAAAGTATTTGCCCAGGCTGGCCTCCAATCTCAGTCCCCTGGATCTCAGCATCCCAGACAGATAGGCTTATGGCCCTACACTGCCAGCACCTGGGGCAGTGTTTTCTAGTAAGACAGCTATTCCACCCTGTCTTCATCTAGGTAAGCTCAGCTTATTTTTTGCCTAAAATTGCTGCAAATTCCAAGACCTGCCAGATTTGAGGAACCTTAGAGTTTGAGTGTGAGTCATAGCATCTCAGTTGCTTTTAAGTGACATGGATTTCTTTGGGCTTGTTTAAAGTTCAAAACTGGCAGAAGAACGCTCAAGCACTTGAGCCACTCCATCAGCTCATTTTTGTGTTGGGTATTTTCAAGATAGGGTCTGGCAAACTATTTTCCCAGGGCTGGCCTCAAAACGCCATTCTCCTGATTTCTGCCTCTCAAGTAGCTAGGATTACAGCTACACCAGTGCCCAGCTAATTTTAAGATCTTGACAATTTATATTTGTTTTTGTTTCTCAGTAGTTCAGTCCTCAATTAATCTTAGTGGAGTAAGTCTAGAAATCTTACAATGGTAACCTATATTCCTTTTAAACATCCACAAATGGACGTCTGAGACAGACTCTCCCAAAAATCATGGTCCTGCTGAAGGAAGATGGGTGTCCCTCTTTTCAGTAGCTCTATCACCTCACTAGGGGCCTCATCTGTGACTGTGCTGGGATGGTACAAGGAGGCGGCTGGGATCCGGATGAATTTTACAGGACCTCACACCTGGAGCTCCCAGTAATGTGCCCAAAGAACCCTTAAGTTCTCACAGCACCACCTTCCATCAGGTCTGTGTTCATTCTCTGTGTGTACAAACATACTTAACGCGGTTTTTCACGATGGTTAGTTAGCACCTTGTCCAGATAGAAGTCCAGAAAATGCATACAACTTCGCCAGTGTCAGGAGGGTGGAAGGTGCCTGCCCTTTGATGGCGATGAGCACTGATGAGGGGAATTTTCCCACTCTCCATCTACGCTTAATTGGCAAGGTAAGCAGGCACCTGGGAACGTCCTGAGTTTGGCAACGAACCATGACCTTAAGCCCAAACTCACTCCCAGCAAAGTTTTACTTCTATTCACATGTATCATTTTCTCCAAACAAACGATACCTCACTGTTCTAGGCAATTTTGAATTCTGCTTTTAAATTTTGATATTTGCTTTGTCTTTAAGTAGGGGAAGGGGATTTATCTTGGGAGAGCCTAGAATTTGAAACTGGATTTTTTTGTGTCTGGGGCGGGAGGGGGGGGGGCTCATTCCCCTCGGCCCCTCCGCATCTTCCTGCTGCCTCCCGCAGCCGGGACCCGTGCCGGGCCCGGGAGCACGAAGGTCGCTCCCACGCGGCGGGGCGCGCTGCTCGCACGTGGGTCCCCAGGTTCCCTCCCGCCGCCGCCCCCGCCCGCCCCGCTGCTCCGCGCGCATTGGCGCCGCCGGCTGTCGGTCTGCGCGCTGGGGAGGGGGCGCCGCCAGGCCGCGGTCGCCCGCGCGCTGCGGAGGGGCTGCTCGCGCGCTCCGCTGCCACCGTGGCTCCCCCACTGCCCGCGCGCCGCAACGCCCAGCGTACCCTGGTCTTGGGAGCAGAGCTGCCAGAACCCCCGCGCTCTCGGTAAGTGGAGGCAGGGAGAGGAGGCTCCGGGGGCGCGGGGTCCGGCTCGCTGACCGCCCGGGCAGCAGGGTGGGCGAGAGATGCAGGCGAGACACCCGCATCCGGGTCCCCCAGATGGCCGCGAGTAAGGACCCATTTGTCCTCAGGCACGTCCAGCCCGCGCCCCCCTCCTCAGGTCAGCTCACTTACCCCTTTCGCAAGCCTTCCAGCTCGTCCTACATGCATTGGATGCGGGCAGCATTTCCCCTTCTTTAGCCTTTTTCGGGGAGACGAGATTTTAGGTTCGTGGCTATTGCAGTTTTGCAGACAGCGTGATGCTGGTTATCTGTTCTGCGCCCCTGGCGTTTTCCTTTCTGAGTACTTTATCCTGCGCCCGGTATCCTGCCCTAAGGGGCATCGAGCCAGGAGGGATTCCTCCCTCTGTTGGAAGCTTCCTGGTCCTTAAACGTGGCTGGAAAGATGCCTTGCTTCTTCGGGTAGTGGTTGCTCTTTGCTGCTCAAAGGGGGAAAGGGGGAAGTGGTGTTTTCTGTGGCATTAGACATGAGATTCTGTCAGGAAATGACAACAGGGACTTTAAGGTTTCCTGAGGCGACAGAACTACCCTTGCAGGTTACCGAAGAATCATTTGCAGTCTAACATTCTGCAAAGTTTCAATGTCTGCAAGCTGCATTCTTTCCCCACATTTCGGTTAGGCTTCTGTTTTGGTATTTATTTCTAGAGTGAGCTTTTCAAGCAAATGTCTGGGCAATGCTAGGTTAGTTCCAAATGATACATTCTGAAACCTGAGCTAATTTTAGTATTTCTACTAGCCATGCATTGTCTGCTTAATATGAATGCTCAGGCGCCTGAGAGCGCAGGAGAGACGAGGAGACGTTTAAGTAGTTACAGTCAACTGAGGTTCTGGTGCTTATTGAAGCATGGATGTGGAGACACTGTCAAATGTTCGTATTTTAGTTCCATCATTGTTCTAGAATGACTTTGTCTTTCTTAAGTATGCAACACTCACCCTAAAAATATTTCCCTAAGATGGCAAAATGATTTTTAGGGTTCTAGTTTCTCCTGCAATTCACAGAATTAAGGGCTATCCAAGTGAAACCTCAGTGAAAGATTCGCATAAAAAGTGCGAAGAAATAGTCCCTTTGCCTAATTTAGGACATCTATCAGCTAAAATTCATAGGTTTTTGTTAGGTAATCACCCATATCTCCATTTTTTTTTTTTTTTTTTGGTGGTGGTGGTGGTGATCGAACCTAGGGTTTTGGGTATGCAAAGCTCTACCAGTAAGCCATACATCCGCAGCCCAAAAGCTTGTGGGGTTTTGTTTTGGTTTGCTTTTTTGAGACCATCTCAAGGCTCAGGCTGGCCTTGAACCTGCCATCCTACTGCCTCAGCCTCCTGAGTGTTGAGATTACAGGTGTACATCACCACACCTGGCAAAAGCTTAGTCGAGTTTTGGCTCAATCATGAGTTGATGGGCTGCATTATCATTAATTAAATGACCATTTTACAATTTCAAATTTCTTGATTAATGGATCTATTGCAGATTAACATTTTTAAACCATGTTCTGAAGCAGAGGCTTCAGAAACTGTCTTGTGTTGAATCTGAGCCCTGTTACCTACTATCTTTGTAATCTCAGGCAAGCTGCTTCATCTGCAGATGGAGATAGCACCACCTACTCACTCTGTCATATTGGGTGTAGGTTAGGGATGTATGTAGAAGCGCTCAGCACTGGTTAACACACAGGAGTTGCTCAATAGATGTCAGCTATTGATATCCAAATGTGTGCAATTCGTAGTGGAAACGTATGAATAACAGATACTTCAGTTCTTCAAGTAATTTAAGAGTGGAAAATGTCAGTAATGTTAAAAAGAGTATGTATGAAAATGATAAAATGGAAAGAACACTTGAGAGTCAAAATCTCCACTTCTAACTGGCTATGACCTTACCTACCTATATGGCTTTTGACAAAGCCAACTGGAACCCCCAATGCTTAGCTTTGTCCTCTGGCTAGACTTGAATAATCTCAAATAATCTCTGAAGTCCTTAGAAGCTTCAGAATTTTTTTACTGCATGTTAAAAAAATTATATTACATAAGCCCTTCCTTGTTTTTTGTTGTTTCCCAAAATTGCAATTTTGAGACTTAAACAATTCATAAAGCCAACACAGCTGAAAACTTTTCAGACCAATCAAATTTGATTTGCAGAGTAATCAAAAATAAAGTTTTAACAAAAATAAGTAGAATGAAATTGATTCATATTGAAATCTTTTTGACAGGGCAAAAGTAAACCCCAATTTGTATTGTCATCATTTCAGGAAGTTATTACATGGAAAGCATGCCTGCTAGAATCTTATACATTCAACAGAAACAATCTGTATTACAAATAATAGGCTTGTGATGAAATAAAATCCCATTCTCTTCTCTCTCATCAGGTTGATCTTTAAATGAAGTAAAAATGCCTTTGGTACAGAGCTTTCACAAAGAAACTAAAGAGAGAAATTACAAGCATTAGAGAAATGAGGCATTTGCGTACTGGAGAAAGCACTGAAAACAACTGATGAAAGGAATGCACACACCACAGAATTTCACTCAGTATGATATTTTTGCCCATCTTTCTGTTGGCAAATCCTGCTGAAGGAAGAGAGAAAAGAGCTTTCTAGAGGATAAAAGAGTGAAGTATAAAAATGGAGACCACAGTTTCTGAAATTCAAGTAGAAAATAAGGATGAGAAAAGAGAAGTTTGTCCCAAGGTTGAGAGGCAGGAGGGAAAAACATCCATGCTTTGCTTCAAGAGAAGAAAGAAATCAGCCAAGGCGCTGAAGCCCCAAGCTGGCTCTGAGGCTGCTGATGCAAGGAAGTGTCATCCAGAAGCAGGAACTTCTGATCAGCCACAGCACCCAGAGGGGACCTGGGCCTCAATCAAACGTCTTGTAACACGCAGGAAAAGGTCAGAGTCTTCCAAGCAGCAAAAGTCATTTGAGGCTGAAGTACAACCTGAAATAAAGCCCAAAGATGCTGACGTTTCTAAGAAAAAGGCAAAATCCAAACTTAAGATTCCCTGCTTAAAATTCCCAAGAGGGGTACAAAGGAGTAATCGTTCCAAAATTATAGAAGACTCAGACTGCAGCATCAAAGTCCAGGGAGAGGTTGAAGGTTTGGATATACAAACTCAGACCCAGTTAAATGACCAGGCAACAAAGGCTGAGTCAACCCAGGACCTAAGTGAAGGTGTCTCACGGAAAGATGATGAGGTCTGTGAGTCAAATGTGAGCAACAGCATAGCATCTGGAGAGGAGGTGATCTCCGTGGAACTTGGGTTAGATAACAGGCATTCTGCTATTCACACAGAAACTGTAATCCTTGAAAAGAAATTGATATGATTGAGGAAAAGCCAAGCGTTCAACAACCCCAGCAAGCAAGCCCACTGGGCAGTTCAGAAACAGACAGTCAGCATCCAGTGGCTTCTGATGTTCCTCCCTCACCTGCAGTGCCAGATGAACAAATTGTGGAAGAAATGAGCAACAAGATCCTAGAAAGTGAGCCAAACTGGAAAGACGATGAAAGTAGAGAGATTCCAGCTGAAGAGGATAAGCCAAAAGACATTGAACTAAGTCAAGAAGATTTTAAAGAAAATGCGACCAATTCAGAGAAACCCAAGTGGGAAGAAAGCAAAAGAATGGAGCCCATTGCTATCATTATTACAGACACTGAAATCAGTGAATTTGATGCTACAAAAGCTAAAAATGTTCCTAAGCAATTCTTAATCTCAAATGAAAGTGAGCAAGTAGGGTTTTTTGCTAATGATAGTGATTTTGAAGGTAGAACTTCAGAACAATATGAAACACTCTTAATAGAAACAGCTTCTTCCCTTGTCAAGAATGCTATCCAGTTGTCTATAAAACAGCTGGTTAATGAAATGGCCTCTGATGATAATAAAATACAGTGACGGACTTTCCAGATCATGGCAAAAAGGAAACGTTTAAAGATGAATTACTGTACACATTTGTGGTACTTCTGATTCAGTAACAAAATGAGAGGTTTATCATGTGTGGAATTTAAAGGTACAATTCCAGCTCAGGAGTGCTAAAGAATAAATCAAGTGTATCAAACTGTTTACCATTGAAATGCAGTCACTTCTGGATTGGAGGAAATCAGCACAGACTGCAGTGCAGTGACATACAGGGAGTTGCTAAAATGGCATATGGAGATTGGAGTGCTTTGGAGAAGGAAGATGTATTTATTGAGCACTTTCAGTATACCATACGCTCTTCCTAATCTCAGATGGCACAAGTCTGTTTTCCTTTTGATAATTCAACCCTGTGTACAGGTTAACATTGCATTCAGTTTTCAAAAACTTTTTTTACAGTGCACTTTTGTTGTTTAAGTGGTGAATAAGGTGAGCTATTTTTTGTGAACGTGTGATTTAAAGTTGCTACGCTCCCAAGCGGTAGTCTTACCTCAAAAAAATGCATCACATTTCCCTAATTTCAGCAGCGTGCAGAATAAGCACGCTGGAACTAAAAGCCATCCACAAATTCCTTCAAATGGGCGAAGAGTTACCAAGTATGCCAGTGTGTGGAAACGGGGCGGGGGAGGGGAAGCAGGAGTGTGGAGGAGGGTGCATTTTCCCTCTCCATCTTCTTTCTGTCCAGCAGACTTGTAAACGTTTCTGCATGGGCTTGTCTGCTGAAAAGCTAAAACAAAGAGAATATTATTTTTCATTCAAGATAAGGCAAACTTGTCAAGTAACAACTGATCACAGATAACATAGGATTCCTCTTGCAGAATTACTTTTAAAGGTCCTAGAAGATCATAATAGTCTAGTGAAAATATTTATGCTTGGTCAGACATGAACCTGTAGTTAAGCGAAAGCACATTACATTTTCAATGTCAATATTTTTTTCATTGTGTCTATATGTTGAGAGAAATAAGTAAAAGGCATTTTGACAATATTGTTTTGGTAATACTGGGGTTTGAACCAGGGCCTCGCACTTGCTAGGCAGGTGTTCTACCACCTGAGCCAAGTCTCTAGCCCCAAAAAGTATTTTACACGGGCATTGAAAATTAACTTTTTCATCACCATTTTCAATTCAGCTAATACTTCTCAGAGATTAGGGCTCATTTGCATTTTTATTCAGTTAAAATAGAGCATCTGTTGACATCAATGATTGCCATGTTTTTTAAAAATTATTCTATTTCGGTATTTCAGTGCTTACACTAACAGCATCTTTACTTCACAGGCTGGGGATCACAGTGTGTGGCGCCTTGTCTAATCTGACTTGAAACTGATGAAATGGTGGAAATAGATGAATGGGAAGGCATTTGTTGAAGAGGAAAGAGTGTACATAGATTATTTTAAATGATCTGGTCAGTTTCTTGCATTATTTATGGATTGCAGATGGAAAGTATGGGCTAGTTTTTCCTAGTTTCATTTTTGTGTTTTCTGTAAATACATATTGCACTCTTAACAGAAGAAACTAAACTGTAGTCAGGTGCCAGTGTCTCACGCCTGTAATCCTAGCTACTCAGGAGGCAGCGATCAGGAGGATTGTGGTTCGAAGCTAGCCCAGGCAAATAGTTTGTGAGACCCTATCTTGAAAAAAAACCATCACAAAAATGGGCTGGTGGAGTGGCTCAAGGTGAAGGCCCTGAGTTCAAGCCTCAATACCAAAAAAAAAAAACCCCAAAACCAAAAAACTAATCTGATTTTGGAATTGAACCAAATAATGGATATTATTAGCAAGATTCTTTGCTAAAGTGCAAAAGTATTTTCCCCAGGCTTTCTGCCTTCTACCAAAATGTAAAGTGGGTCTTTTGAAACATGTGACCCCTATAACTTCTTTTAGTTGTACAACTTTTAGGCATTAAAACAAAAACCAAAAATACTTCTGAGTCATCCTTGAAAAAACTTTAATTCACTATATGTGGTGCTAATGGACTTGGATAGCTACTAGCAAATATCATATTTAAAAAGGAACAGTCTAAATAACCTGATTAAGGTTGGTACATTTTATAGTATTTTGAACAATCCTGTATTTATTTACTACTGGGATGGCTCCAAGCCAATATACTTGCATTGTAAATTTTTAATAATCTCTTATGAATGAGCAAAAAGCACAGTATTTACCAGTTACTGAAAGCATTTAGGAAGGTTTACTTGGGATTTTAAAAAACAGAACAAAGGAAATATGTGTAGTGAATTTTTTTGTTAGGAAAGTAACATTTTATATAAGTAATATTTTACCCTAGGTTTCTTCCTTTTTTTCCCACTGTGGTTTGATAAATATAGTTTTGTTAGAATGCATTATGATTTCTATGATAATATGTGTAGTCAACTCAAATTCAATCTCAAAGCGGTTTTTCTTCAGTCTTTTCTGGTGAATTAAATAAGTAGAATTTCCATTAAAAATGGAATATGGAAATTACTTGGTCTCAGCCAGGTGCCAGTGGCTCAGGCCTACAATCCTAGCTACTTAGGAGGCAGAGCTCAGGAGGATCAAGGTTTGAAGCCAGCGGACAAATAGTTCGTGAGACCCTATCTCGAAAAAACCCATCATAAAAAAGGGCTGGTGGAGTGGCTCAAGGTATAAGCCCTGAGTTCAAACCCTAGTACTGCAAAAAAATAAGAAAAAAAAAAAAAAAGAAATTAATTGATCTCAGTTTGATATACCTGCTATGTGGTCAAATCCTATTCAGTGAATTCTAAGGTAATCCAAATTGTTTTGTTGTTAGGGAAATAAGAAGGAATCATATTGCTTAGAAGTCTTTCATAAAATATTTTTATTTCAGATTGGAGGTTTGGCTCAAGTGGTAGAGTGCCTGCTTTTCAAGAGCAAAGCCCTGAGTTCAAACTCCAGCCCCACCAAAAAATATATTTTTATTATAGCATTTATTTTAACCAATTTGACCTTATATGTAAAACATTAATATAAATAGGTTGATTCAATTTATATCCATTTGACATTAAAATGATCACTTAAAAAACTTAACTTCACATTCATTTTAATTTAAATTTGCTGTGATATAAATACTGCTTTTAAGCATATTATCTTCCCCCTTTTAAGAGTCAAGTATTATCCACTTTGCTTCTTTACAACAGAGAATATGAAAATTCTCCTTGATTGTATGTAGCACTATTCACTTGCCATTTTTTTCAAAGCACTTTGTAGGATATAAAAATAGTACCTGGTAACATTTAAGTAAAGGTAGCAGAAAACAAAAGAACTTTCAAACAGAAATGATGTGCCCTGCCACCTCCTCCTCCTCAAGGAATAATGAGCATGTGGCACAGATGGAATTCTACAGAAAAGCTGTCTGCATAATTTTCTTTCAAGGTAATGTACTTGACAGCATGAAGACTGTGATGATCTTAATTGGTCTACTATTTAGTGAGGTCTTAGAAACTGATTTACTTCTGAGAGATTTTGCTGTTTCAGCAGTACACTGAGCGGGCTTCTTGCTGGATAGGGAGATGCATCAAGGAGAGAGCACCAGTCAATCTGGCTTCTGCATGTGGTTTGGAGGTAGTTTCATCTATAAATTTCCAACTTCAAGTTGCCTTATTTTTTATAGTCAAGAATTTTTTTAGGAGTTAACAGCAGAGTTTTAAGAATAATTGTTAAACTTTAGAATCCTGTTGTTTTCTGAAAAGCTCTTTTTAAATGTCAACTTTCTGAAATATGTAAAGTCTACTTTGTAATTTCATCTTACATTAAACACACCAGGGTTCCACTTTTCTGCCTGCCACTTCTGCAGGTACTCTCCAGTCCATTTTGATCTGGTTATTTTGGAGATGGGTGTCATGAACTAAAGACAGGATCCTCTAGATCTCAGCCTTCCAAGTAGATAGGATTACAGGTGTGAGCCACTGGCGCCCAGCTTTATGGTTCATTTCTCAAAATATTTTTTGTAATGATCCTTAGTTACAAAAATTTATTAGAATGAAGCTACATAAAATTTGGGTGCCCTGATTAAATTCAGTTTGATTCAACATGTGTTAAGCATTATACCTGCCAAACATTCTTTGATAATAGGACAGGCTCCTTGCCCCTCAACACTCATCCCAGGGGGTGAGGGTGTGACAAGAGAACCTGGAACAGGGGCTAAGGCAAAGGGCCATAGACAATGCAGAAGCATGAGTGCCAGGTAGGGGAGAAAAAAGAGCAATTAATTTTGTCTGGTGTGGGGAAGGTGGTGATCTGAACGCAACAGCAGTTTGAAAGCATTCAGTTTTTAAGTAAACAGTGTATTCATTCTGATTTGTTTTTGAACTAGAAAAAAGCCTGCATATTGTTATATATTAATAGTAATTATCTGTAAAATGTTAAATGGATGAGCTATTGTGAAGGTAAGCATTACATTTTGTATTTCTCATTAAAATTAGTATATTACTGTGGATCAGATGCTATTAAAAACTCTGTAGAGAAAAGGTTTTAAGCTGAATTAATGTATTATGCCTACTAATACAGAATAAATGTTATCTCATGTTTATTTATCCATGTCTTTTAAGAGAAACATGGTAAGTTATATCACATTGGTGGAACCATTTTGTTAGCTCTATCAAGTTTCACTCTGCTATGGACTTTATAATACATGCCTGAAAGAATCTACATCCAGAAGGGAAATACAGACAACTAGAACTTTGAGCTAATTCAACCTGAAGGGCAGTTCTCAATTTGATACCATCTGTGAACTTGACAAAAGCAGTTTTGGGGGCTGAGGCTGTAGCTTAGTGGCAGAGAGCTTGCCTAGTATGCACAGAGCCCTGAATATTCCATCCACAGCATGAAAAACAGAGTGGAGAAAAAAATCAGTTTTTATCATCTCTTGCAACACCAGCTGTCTTTTCTGCATTATTTTAACTTATGCGTTGTGTGTGTGAGTGTGGTGTGTGTGTGTGTGTGTGAGTGTGGTGTGTGTGTGTGTATATGTGTGAGTGTGGTGTGT